GGTGGGCATGCCAGGTCATTAAGTATGCTTATGAGCACTCGGATGACCAGGCTCTTGCGAGGGTGAGAGTGCGGGCTCATGAGGTAAGGGCCCTCGCTGCGTCCTCGGCCCTCCTTAATGGGTCCTCCTTTCAGGAGGTCATGTCTGCTGCCTTCTGGCGGGGCAGGGATACGTTCACAGATTTTTATCTGTGATCCCTAGCTTCCCACTCAGAAGGTTTGTATTCTTTGGGGCCTCTGGTGGTTGCACAGTCTGTGGCTGTGTGCCCTCCCCCCCGTTAGCCCCGGGGCTTGTCTTTTCCGTTCGGCGGCATGTGGGTTACAGGTTACCTGCTCGTTCACGGGGAGATTCCCCTTCTTCTTCTATGCACCCTGTCCCCCCTCCCTACCATGTTTAGTTGTGCTAGATGGGCTGCCTGGCTGCTAGTCACCACTACGGTAAGACGAATTCGCATACTAAAGTTATGGTAATTATTACTGAAATGAAATTGAGGTTTTTTAATGTATAACCAATTTTCATGAGGTAATACTTACCATAACTTTACGGAGTCCCACCCTATCCTCCCCTCTTCCTATCTGCCTGGCTGCCCCTCTGCGGGTGCCCCATAAAGGCTAAGAGGAAGGGAGATAACTCTATGTTCATGACGTGAAGGCTCGTGGTCATAGGGAGGGCGGGATTTTTTAATCTTTTGATTTTTTGGATACAAAGATGGGTGTAGGTTCCATATTTGCATACTAAAGTTATGGTAAGTATTACCTCATGAAAGTTGCTTTTACATTCAAAAACCTCAAATTTACTCAGATATGATATTGAGCTGGAGAGAATTCAAGTCATTATGCATTACTGAAGCCTCAGTGGACTGAATAAAACAAGCTTAGCATGTTTAATTTCTGCTTGTCTTCTTAACAGTGATATATGATTTGGTATTCAATGAGGACCTCCATAGTTTTTTGATACAGTTTTACACCTGAATCGGGTTGTTTCCCTCCCCCGCATTTCACTAGGAAACTTTGGGTTCCATCTCTCTATGTACTGATACATTGTACAATCTCTGATGAATCTACAACAGCTACAATACCACTGAGACAGAATTTCACGAGGAAACTTTGGGTTCCATCTCTCTATGTACTGATACATTGTACAATCTCTGATGAATCTACAACAGCTACAATACCACTGAGACAGAATTTCACTAGGAAAATTTGGGTGTTAAAATCTTTAGAGTTTTCCCCCACTAAATTATTGATCATATTTCCATTAACTCTCCAAGGAGAGGACCAAGGAGCCAAATGTTGTATATCCGGTAAAAGAATTTGGGAAAATCAGGATTCTTAACCAAAACTAGAATATCTGATATTTTAGTTGTAATCACATCTTTTATTTCTGATAATTTCCAGGTGAATCATCTCTGGATCTCTTTAATTTTAAATATATCAGGCAATTTATACAAAATGTGCAAAGTATGTCTTCAAAAACATCATATATAAGAAACATTGTTAAGACCTTTAAGAGGTTTCCTTCTGAAATTAGACTTCCACAAATTGTATGTAAATGTAACACAAAAATAAACTCCTCAAACAGTCATCCATTTATATATATATATATACATATAAGATACGGGTAGTGGTAACCATGACAACAAAGTGGAGAGATGGGTGAACTTTTGACCCGTGTATGTCTGATTCCCTGCTTACTTTGTCTATAACTTGATTTATGTAGCTGTAGTGGATTGATGATTGGGGAACAACACAAATTCTCCTATCAGTAATAGTGGGCAGACATTGCTTCTTTACTAACTTTGGAAATTTGATTTTACACCAAACGTATTTAAGCATGGACCCAGTGAAGCCAACCTTCAGAATCCTTGTATGTTTGATACCAGAAACAATTCCTGTTATAATATTAGATCTGTTTTCTATTGGATTTGGAATTAGATTTGGATTTACTAGAACTCGTCTGACAAAGTGTGTACGATGTGTGACTACACGGTAGAGCCGTCCTCAGATCCTACATGTAGTTAACCGTTAATCAGGTAATCTGGACCCTTCCATCAAAGACACTGCGGTTTTCCTTCCAAGAAATTGTTGTAGATTTTTTTTGTAAATTGAATCCTGTCAGATTGTATTCATCTTTCCAGGCACTATATCCACAGTGAAATTATTAAACAGGCATCCCTGTAATGGATGTAGTCATTTTACTCGCAGATCGTTTGATAGAAAATTAATTTGAGAAAAAATCCCATTACTCGGCTTGTCCTGAGTTTCAGTTGCTTCTGATGCGTAATACACTGTGACATACTGGTGACTCTGCAAGATAGAAAATTAATTTGGATGAATTTGACATTTTATTAATGTTCAAATGGTAGGATAGTGATTTCATCAATAATTCGCATTAGATAACACTATAGTAAGCCATCATTGGGTTTACATAGATCAAAGAGATAGCATATTGAATAAAAGCATGGAAAGAGGGTAAAAAAAAAACAATCACAACGTCAGATATTTACATTGGTGGGCTAACACCATGTCGCAAATCATTCCCAGCATGCATAAAACATTTTTGTCGGTAACTAGGATTGATGGGGTGGGCTGGATTTTAACTTCATTACACAGATACCATTACCTAGTTCTAAGCAATGGACTAGAACAGGAAAAATGGAAAACCTTTTAAAAGGTTACAAAGTCTCTCCGACATCAGCACATGCATGTCGTCGTTTCAGAACCGTGAATGTCAAAGGAAAGTGGACACAGTAAAGCCAAGTCTATCACGCACACTTTAATGGCAAAATGTAGCATGCTATATTTAGATAAGAAAGGAAAATTTAATTGATGTTGTGATGAACATGGATTTTAGAAATATTATATTGTAATCACATTTTATTAATTTTGGTTGAAGTAAATTTTATGATCTAACACACAGTGTATAAAGAGCTAGTGTTACCACAATGCTGTATTTACTGGACATACTTGGTGTAAGAAGATATTTTATTAAACAATTGTTTGCTCTGTATAAATTTAATGATGCATCCGCGTCAGTTTTCAAATATCAGACACATTAAAATTAATTTTTCATTTTCATTGATTTCAGTGAAAATCACATTCAACATACAGTGTCAAAAATTGCTGGATACATCTTGACCAAATATCATCGGTGAATCATGAGTGACCCTTCAAGGGCACAAATTACAGAAATGTTCACCTTTCAGTCATAGTGTGTAGAGGGACAAGACTCAAAACAAAAATTAGGTTCCATACTGAATATGGGAGTCAAACTTTACCCTTAATACTTGATGAAGAAGGGCCTTGCTCAATACAGAAAGAAAGAGTCAATCTTTAAACCCATTACTGGGTGTAGAGGGGCAAGGCTCAATACAGAGAGAGTCAGTCTTTAACCTCATTACTGAGTGTAGAGGGGCAAGGCTCAATACAGAAAGAAAGAGTCAATCTTTAACCTCATTACTGAGTGTAGAGGGGCAAGGCTCAATACAGAGAGAGTCAATCTTTAACCTCATTACTGAGTGTAGAGGGGCAAGGCTCAATACAGAGAGAGTGAGTCAATCTTTAACCTCATTACTGGATGTAGATGGGCAAGACTCAATACAGAGACAGTCAATCTTTAACCTCATTACTGGATGTAGATGGGCAAGACTCAATACAGAGAGAGTCAATCTAAGCTAATTACTGGGTGTAGAGGGGCAAGTATCAGTACAGAGAGAAAGAGTCAATCTTTAACCTCATTACTGGGTGTAGAGGGGCAAGGCTCAGTACAGAGAGAAAGAGTCAATCTTTAACCTCATTACTGGGTGTAGAGGGGCAAGGCTCAACACAGAGAGAGTCAATCTTTAAGCTAATTACTTGGTGTAGAGGGGCTCATTACTGAACATGTAAGCTAACCATACCCTCGTTACTGGAAGCGATAGATTGTAGAAGGTTACATGTGCAGATAACTGAGAGGGTAGGTTGTGGGAGATTCCATGGGTACAAATCACTCGGAAGGGTACAAGTACAGTACTCAGAAAGGGTAGGTTGTGGGAGATTCTGTTGGTACACATCACAGGGAAGGGTACAAGTACAGTACTCAGAAAGGGTAGGTTGTGAGAGATTCATTGGGTACAAATCACTGGGAAGCGTACAAGTACAGTACTCAGAAAGGGTAGGTTGTGGGAGATTCTGTGGGTACAAATCACTGGGAAGCGTACAAGTACAGTACTCAGAAAGGGTAGGTTGTGGGAGATTCTGTGGGTACAAATCACTGGGAAGCGTACAAGTACAGTACTCAGAAAGGGAAGGTTGTGGAAGATTCATTGGGTACAAATCACTCGGAAGGGTACAAGTACAGTACTCAGAAAGGGTAGGTTGTGGGAGATTCATTGGGTACAAATCACTCGGAAGGGTACAAGTACAGTACTCAGAAATGGTAGGTTGTGGGAGATTCATTGGGTACAAATCACTGGGAAGGGTACAAGTACAGTACTCAGAAAGGGTAGGTTGTGGGAGATTCTGTGGGTACAAATCACAGGGAAGGGTACAAGTACAGTACTCAGAAAGGGTAGGTTGTGGGAGATTCTGTGGGTACAAATCACTCAGAAGGGTACAAGTACAGTACTCAGAAAGGGTAGATTGTGGGAGATTCATTGGGTACAAATCACTGGGAAGGGTACGAGTACAGTACTCAGAAAGTGTAGGTTATAGAGTTGTGCATATACAGATATCTGAGATGAGGGTTGTGGAGTGATGTGGGTACAGATCACTGGGAGGAGGAGTCGGTGGAGTAGTGTGGGTACAGATCACTGAGAGGGGCAATTGTGGAGAGGTACGGGTAAAGATCACTGAAAGAGCAGGTCGTAGAGAAGTGTGGGTACAGAGCACTGAGAGGGGCAATTCACAGTACTTTTATTACAGTCTTATGATATAAGGTTTTTTTAAGTTTTGTTGCCGCATGCACATGGTTACTACCTGTCTGGGGAAGTACAATTAGTAGAGCTATTTTTTCTTTTACAGTTACAGGCAGTTACTACTTGGGAATAGTTGATGGTATGTACAACTCTGGCAGACACAGACAAGGGGAGGCAACTCAAAGGAACTACACCCTCAAGATGTGGTGGGCTGAGTGTATCTATTGGAATGAGACTCAGAGCGAGTGGTCAGATGAAGGTTGCTGGAGCACGGGGGAGTCAACATTCCATGTAACACACTGCCGGTAACCATTCATCTCAAACAAGTCAAATACAAAGCTCTTACTATGTTTTAATCTTGTGCAGTTCTTTTTTCCTTCAGAAAATGCTTTTTATTTAACAGTCACACTCTATTCCTAGGATTATGAGACATAAATTTTATTTAGAATAATATTGACAAATTAAGTACAGGTTTTCAAGCCAGCATTCGCTTTTAATCTTCCTGTTCATGGACAAAAAATATTTTCTAATTATTTTTACCGATAAAAAGTGTACTTTTGCAAATTTATCTATAACATAGGTATAAACCAAGCCTATTGAAGATAATTAACCAATCATTGTTGAGATTTCACTGTAATTATTTAAGATAAGTGGATTAGGCCTACACATAGTTGGGTCTGTCACTGTATTGATTATCTGTTAGTGCAGAAGATAAAAGAGGACTCTCGTTTTCAGCTGTAATCACCTAACTGCTTTTGGTAGCCACTTCGATCTCGTTCCAAATGAATTGTCCTTCATCGCAGTAGAAGACTTTTTTTCGTGAGTAATGACAGAATTAATATGTAATATAGTACTGTTCATGTGTCATGAAGTTTTTAATGGAAGTTTTAAAGGCTATTCTAATAAAGCAACTCTCCTATATATATCATCAATAAATCAATTACATCACTTAATGAGTGCTTCCTTCTTTGATGTTGTCTCTCAGTACATAATTTATTTTCTTTCTGCAAAATCTTTATTCTTAGCTGCACTTCTACTCGATCTCTTTGAAAAAAAATTTTGAAGAAAATCTTGAGGGCCTACAATGTAATAAGTTTATAAGGAGTAGTGTGTTTGATGTACTACTGATATAATGTTATAATGCACAATAACTCTGGTTTAGATATTGATATATATATGTAGGTCTCAAATAAGATTGTTTATTCCTGTATAAAGCCTGCTAAAAAATTTTTGAATTCTAAATACATGTATGATTATTACACGTACATGTATTTTTACAGACAGATTATGCCTGATGATGTTTTGTGATTTTCAGTCACCATGAGAACCTCACCACGGTAACATTATTAGTGGTCATTTTATGTCTGTATGCCATTCTCATGGTCATCTGTCACCGTGCGGATATCCATGATGCCAAGAAAGGGGGGATAACTTATCTTCAAGACAACACAATCACTGATCAACAGAGGTTTGAGGTTACCGTGGAAACAGGCTTCAGAAAAGGGGCAGGAACTACAGCTAAGGTAGTCTAACATATCAATCAATAATCACATGTCAGTTTTCTCTATGGTAAGTGAGGATAGTAGATCTGATCGAAACTAAAAGCAAATTACTCAAAATATTGTTATGAACTAGTGAATGTTTTGAAATGATATACATGAATTTCTTTTAGTATGCTGTTTTGCAAATAACCATTTTTTTAGAAGAAAATTGGTCCTTTTGAGTTCTGGCACAAATGGCTACCAATGCAAGTTTTATCAGTCATATACTAGATACATAATATGGTATGGTGTGTTGTATCAAGATGAAAGTTTGCTTAAAAAAACTCGTCTTGGTTCTAATAAGTTGTCTATGTATAAGCTGTAGAACAGGTTAGTGATGTAGGACCATTGTATATTTCGTTTCTTGTTTGTTTACAGAAGATTTTTCATAATGTTATGAAACTTTGTATAATCTGTATTGTGTTTCAATCATTTTCCTTTGATTTATATAATAATTTGTGTTGAATGGAAAGTTTTGTGTGGATAAAGTTTGTTTACTTCATTGTGAAAGGTTTTTGTAAAATCTAAAACACATTTTTGTAAGTTTGTGTTTAGATCCATTTTTAGATCAATGATAACATGGACACTGAAGCTCTACAAACATTCTGTTATTAACTCACCTGGGCGAAAGGGCCAGTTGTAATTAAGTGAGTTTTTATAACATGACTACACAGAATAAAACTGATTTTCACTTCTTTTGCTGGTGTTTATAATTACCAGATCAGCCTCATACTTCATGGTGAAGAAGGCATGTCCGAGACAAGGGAGCTAATAACAGATGATCCTCGCCCTCTGTTCGAACGAAACTCCAGGGACAAGTTCATCCTCACGTATGTATGAATGACATAACTCATCCAGAAATGTGAAAAAGGATTTGAATCTGCATGCATAGAAAAATGTATGTGTTAAAAGGGAATCTGTATAGGAAATCTGCAAAAATTAATAAAATGTAACCCAGTGAAGATTACTACTAATATAGACATGTATGGTGAAAGAAGAGACAGTGAAGATTACTACTAATATAGACATGTATGGTGAAAGAAGAGACAGTGAAGATTACTGCTAATATAGACATGTATGGTGAAAGAAGAGACAGTGAAGATTACTGCTAATATAGACATGCATGGTGAAAGAAGAGACAGTGAAGATTACTGCTAATATAGACATGCATGGTGAAAGAAGAGACAGTGAAGATTACTGCTAATATAGACATGCATGGTGAAAGAAGAGACAGTGAAGATTACTGCTGATATAGACATGCATGGTGAAAGAAGAGACAGTGAAGATTACTGCTAATATAGACATGCATGGTGAAAGAAGAGACAGTGAAGATTACTGCTGATATAGACATGCATGGTGAAAGAAGAGACAGTGAAGATTACTGCTAATATAGACATGCATGGTGAAAGAAGAGACAGTGAAGATTACTGCTGATATAGACATGCATGGTGAAAGAAGAGACAGTGAAGATTACTGCTAATATAGACATGCATGGTGAAAGAAGAGACAGTGAAGATTACTGCTGATATAGACATGCATGGTGAAAGAAGAGACAGTGAAGATTACTGCTAATATAGACATGTATGGTGAAAGAAGAGACAGTGAAGATTACTGCTAATATAGACATGCATGGTGAAAGAAGAGACAGTGAAGATTACTGCTAATATAGACATGTATGGTGAAAGAAGAGACATGTGAATTTTTAAGGCAAAGGGAGAGAGGTAACCAATATATACGGGATGGTAAGGTAACTGATGTGTCTAAACCTTAATAGGATCTGTACTCTGATGTCTAAAAAACATGATTAACTAACCTCTACACAAAGGGGAGACAACTGATGGTAACAAAACTTGATTAACTGAGCTGCAGGGAAAAGGGAGATAACTGATCATTAGGTCATCTAAACCGAAGGGACAGGATGATCTATAGCTATCTTGTTTCATCCATCCACCGTGTGCCATCCACTGTGCATAAACTTTTCATTCAGATGACTTTTTTCAATAACCAAAAGGTCCAGGGTACTAACATTGGGTGTGTATCATAATGGGATGAAGGGCTACCACGTTTGTAAATATGAATGACCTTGATCCACTTTCAAGGTCACGCAAGCAATTTCCCAATAACCAAAAGATCAGGTAACTGCTGTATTGTGAAGGAGAAGAGAAATAATCATGATCTACTTATACTGTAAGAAGACATTTAAGATCACTTGATAATGTACATCTTTACTTTCTGATTACCTACAGGTTACCGGACAGCATTGGTAAAATATGGAAGGTACAAATCTGGCATAACAACTCTGGACAGTCCCCAAGCTGGTATCTTAGTCGAGTCATTGTCAAAGACCTCAACAATGGTAAGTATTATGATGTAATCAGATATATCATAGGTATATAGTGTTCTGTGATTTGTTCTCATCTAAATAGAAAATACATTGTCAATTTCTTGAAAATATAAGCTGTATTATGGCAAGGGTGAAGAAAGAAAAAGGTGGCTAGCCACTTCTGTCTTTCTGTCCTGAGCCAAAATGTAGCATATATTTTGGTGACACTGACCGTGTATTTATCCTGTAACACTTATTGAATATTCATACTATTGAAATTTCAACTGATTGTAAAGTCTATTCAATGTTATATTACCTAATGTTGACGTTTCATTGAACAGAGCACATCAAAATAATTACTCTGCATGAAAATATAGTTCCACACTTAAATGAATATTAAAAACAATTTTATGAATTTGTATATATAAACTTGTTTGTTATAATATTGCTTATCTAAACAGCTATTCATATTTTTAAATGAAATATCTTAGAAAATCAGTAAATAATTGTGTAGAATTAATGCACTTTCTAACATACAGCTGTTTTCCCTCGTTGCCGAATACCACAATATATACATGGAAGTTGTATTCCGACAATGGCAGCGCAGTTAGAGGATAAATTTTCCACCAATATTATATGATGAGAATTTCTTAATGTAGGTAACATATACTACTTCCTATCGGAGAAATGGCTGGCAGTTGAAGAGGAAGATGGGAAAGTGGAGCGGGAATTTATGGCACTCGAGGGCAGTCTTGGTGTCAGAAAGGTAAAAATCTTTCCTTCTGATTGTTGTTAGTAACATATCTCATCCTCTGAAAGGTCGAAAGGTCATGATAGCGGACATATTATTGTCGTTAGGAAGTCTCTTGTCTGCTGAAAGGTCAAATGGCTGTAATAGTGGATGTAAAACTATTACATAAATGAAATGTTGTTAGTCAGAAAGAAGGTGATGGTTGTACCTACCAGCCAGCTGTAGAAAAACAATCCAGGGGTCCAAGGACCCAAGATGTAGATATTAGAGTTAACATGTGTGAATGTTCTTTAATGGTAAGCTATTCAACTACCAGTGTAGCATGGTATTGTGAAGCATGGAGGGAAATGAACCAGGGTCAAAATACCATAATGGTGAAAAGAAATGTGGTTCTCTTCACCATTATAATAACAAAAAATAGGTCTGGGGTGGGGAAATTTAGGGTGGGGCAGGGGGTTGGTGGGGGGGGGCTCACTTCCCCATGGCCATGGTAAAGTGAAGCATTACACAAATTTCTTACTAATTAATTTTTTTCATAAATATTTTGGCAGTTTACCCTGATTCAATAATATAAACACATATATAACAAAAAATAGGTCTTGGGTGGGGAAATCAGAAGCTAAATCTCTCTATACATAATTGTGAAAGAACAGGGAAAATAACACATTCCTGTTGAGTGTTCCAACCAGGAATCAAACCGGGGTCACTGGCTGTACCAACTGAGCCAGAGAAGCATGACCCGTCAGCTGGGTGACAGAGGCCATATTTAACACTATGTACAAGTCCCACCAACCCGCTCCTGTTACACAATAATCTGAACTTACACATATGATTGGTGATAACAAAACATATTAAAAAGGGAATTTGTCAATAACAACAAATTAAATGATATATGGGAGGATGTGATATAAAATTTCATCCCACTGGCCTATAGCAATATCACTTGTTGCAGTAGAGGAGAGCTTGTATAGTCTGATCCTAGAAGGATTGGGAAGACCAGTTATGTCATTATATAAGATGCTGCTTGGATTATGGCTAATGATGTGATGTTAGCCAGAGATATAATATCAAGGTTAAGTAGTTATCTACAGACAATGTCATGGTCCAGTGAGGATTGACAGCCCTGAGGTACAGTATCCTGGCAACCCCAGACCAAGTGCCTTGAAGAAAGGGTCTGTTTGATCTCAATTGAAATAGAAAAAAGAGTACCTGTAAGCAATGTCACAGGGTCAAGGTCTCTAAGTGGGATCAAGGGCTGATGTGGTTATAATCGATACCCAAGTGTTTGGATACTATAGCAGTCTCTCAGACAGTCAACTCTACAGTCCATCATTATATATAGAATCAAATCCATGGAAATCAAACACTGCATGTGAAATGAATGATTATCTTATAATGATTATTAGGAACATGTAAAACAGTTGTTACGGACATGGAGTTGTTACCCGTGAGGTGAGTTAAGTTGATCCTCCATCCTTTCTAGTTTAACAAGGTTAACATAACTTATTAAGAACAATAACATGTACACATCTGGTAGAAGATTTGTGTAGGATGTTTTAGTGTAATCTTTTACTGGTGTTGTTAAAAGAACTTTTAAGTATACTGTTAAAATTACCAACCAGAAGAAAATATTCCAAAATACCTGTCAGTATAGTAAACAGTTAAAAACAAAGGAAGGATCAGACTTCCATTAATTGCAGGCTATGAATATCATAATTTGTGATACCTCTGGAAACTGTAGTACTTGTAATTACAAGGTGCTTATAGAACTAAGGAGGAAATTTCAGGACAAGTCAAGGATTCATTTTCGTTACAACACCAAATTCTTTCTCTAAACTTTTCTTGAGGAAAATATAAGCGCAGATATGATACCTTTATTAACAGGTTTTCTGGGCCAAAGGTACCCAGTACATGGCTGACTACCATCTGTGGACATCTCTGTTTACTCATCCTTCTCCGAGTCAGTTCACACGTACCCAGCGTCTCACGTGCTGTCTCACCTTGCTCATGATGTACATGTGTCTGAATGCCATGTGGTATAAGCAGGCACCTTCAGAAGTAAGTACCAACATCCATGTGTGTCAAACTAGCCTTATTTACATAAAATAATACTTTTAATTATTTATAACAGATTGTATTACTCAACTTTACTGTTGCCTTTATTATACTCTGTAAAAACTTAACACTTCTCTCTACAGAATAAGATGTTCATTATTAATTAGCCCTCTTGGGTAAATTTAGGATAAATTAAGTAGATATTATATACAAGTCTCCTTATCTCAAACTCCGTGTGACATGGGGAAAACTTTGAGATAACCGAATATTCAATTTAAGTGAGTGTGAATGTTTTGTGTGAAGTTAAGCAGGGACCATTGAAATACTTCAAATTAAACAGGGTTTCCAGTTATACAAGTTCAAGAAAACGAGGTTTGCCTGTACATGTAATAATTGTTTATATGTATTCACCCCAAGTTAATCCAAGTTAATAACTTGAATCAGAAAATATTTTGAAGTTCCTTTAATTCACAGAGATACCATAGTTGTATGTATCTTAATTAACCTTGTTATCTTGAATTTGTGTAACTCCCAGCCATACTACCATACCAAACATCTGATGTCACAGAAATCAAAGTTTTCCTATGGTTCTTGCCGACATTGATCTAAGGAGGTTCGACTGTCTTTAACAATATAATTAGTTAACAAACACATCTGTGATTATTGTAGGTGAGAGGAGAGTTTGGACTGTTGGACTTGTCACTACGAAATGTGACTGTTGGTGCCATATGTTGTGCAGTAACCATTCCTGTCAATCTGTTTGTGGCCCTTCTGTTTAGGCGGAGCAAGGTCAGTATCATACAGTGTTAATTGTCATAAAGATGATATTGATAATTAAAGTCAACTTTAAAACACAAGGAAGGATTAGCTTGAAAAGGATCGTGGAATGTCCATACACAGCTAGGGCTCCTGGCAGAGAATATTATTGCCTTAAGCTAGTTCTCAGAATGAAAATGTTTTGTCATTTTGCTAAATATAAGACATCAGAAGGTTTACCTTAGTATGGACAGTTCATGTTTGGGAAGTTACCAATATTTTAACTTGCACATTTGATAAAGTTTGAATTATTTTTTCTTTTTCTCATTTATGTCATCAATGACCATAATGTTTGTTTTGCGACCATCAGAAGCAGAAGTCGACAGGTGAGGTTGACGCAGAGTTGGAAGAGGAGAAAGATAAACACTATTCGAGTGGTAAACCTGATGGTGTTACTCCGGATGATGATGAGGATTCGGAGGCTGTCCAACCAGTAATGACATATAGTATCCTTGACCAGTCCATATTGAACTGGCCAAGCATTCAGGACTGGGCACAGAAACAGTGGATCAAACGCCAGCACTCCACCATGTCTATAGAAGAGACTACTAGCGGCAAAACTAATGACAACACAATACAACAGGGGCAGACAACTCTAACACCCACACACATACTCCATAAACGTGTGATCGGCTCTGAAACTGACCAGGCTTCAAGTGGGTTTGAGGACTCCAACAGTACTGACCCACGTCCACAAATGACTATTAGCTCTCAGGCCAGCAGCATCAAGAACAAGGCACCCTCTGTGTCTAGTTCTGTCAGCCAGAAGTCATCAGGTGAGATTTACAGTATGTTTGCTGTTGACAACTATCTCTGTGTGATTTTACTGACGATGATTTCAATTAAGATCTTATCTTGTATTTATGAATTAACCCTGATAAATACAGGCTGCAATACAGCACATGACCAGAAAGGTGTTGTCTCAGGAAATATTTAGTAAGTCCTTGATATTAGAGAGATCGAGGTAAAAAATGACATCTGTTTATCAAATATTTGAAACTCAAAATTATAGCTACATGTATTTTGAATTGGTATTCAGGTGATCAAGATTTATTTCTTACTAATCAGTGGCCAATGCAAGGATCAGTCTTATTGTTAGTTGATTATGAGGATGCAGGAATAAGGTTGGCCTATGGTTTATATTTCTAGTTAATAGATGAAAAATTGTTGAATTTATGTAAAAATATTAGTTTTGATTTTGGTTTTAGTTCTGAGTTCCAGGAAGGCCTTCCAACGCCAGTGGTTTTTACCCTACTGGTGTCAGTATGTTGCCTGGACTTTATGTGCCATCATCTGCCTAGGTTGTGCAGTTGTCACCGTTCTTTATGGATTCAGGTAAAACTTCACATTCTTTAAAGACATATTGTAATAAGCTATTCATAAAACTAAAACGTATACTTCTGGTCCAAGGTTAAAGATTTCATAAAGCTGTCAAACCACACAGTGATTTTTATAACAATGTAAGTCAGGTTAATGCAACTTTATTGTAAAAGCATTGTGAGATTTCCTTTATCAAGGTTCTGTTATTAGCCCACCTTCTGATTCAAATCGCTCTGTGTCTGTCATCTGCCTGTCGCCCATTCCTTCATCTGTCCATCTGTAAACAATTTTTGTTATCACTATTACTTGAGAAGTTCTGGATGGATCTTTCTCAAATTGCATATGTAAGTCCCCCTTGGTCCCTAGTTGTGCCCGTTTGATTTTGGGATTGATAAAAAAAAGAAAATGGGTGACCGGCAGCCATCTCGTATTTATTCAGCGAAGTTAGTTATCGCTATTTCTTGGGAAGTGCTGGATGGATTTTTCTTCCATTTCATATGCAGGTTTCCCTTAGCCCCTAGTGGTGCCCATTTGATTTTCGAAATGATCAGAAAAACAAAATGGCCGAAAGGCAGCCATCTTGGATTTTGATGTTGAAATATTGTTATTGCTTTTTCTTGAGAAGTACTGGATGGATCTTTCTTTTATTTCATATGTAGGTTTCTCTCAATCCCTTGTTGTGCCAATTCGAATTTGGGACTGTTCAGAAAAACAAAATGGCTGACAGGTAGCCATCTTGGATTTTGCCTAGTGAAGACTGAAATTTCATACATATGTTATTTTTGGTTTCCCTTTTTCTCATTTACTTTTGGGACTGATCAGAAGAAACAAAATGGCTTCCGAGTGGCAATTTTGGATTTGGCAGGAAAAGATAAAGATAAAGGAATGTTCAAATGTCTTATCATTAAGAGCAAAAACAGAGAAGAGAAAGGAATTGAAAAGATCCAACTTTCAATGAGCAAATAGAGATCAAACAATGGTGGGCGCCAAGATCCCTCTGGGATCTCTTGTTATAAAATACTATCACATGTGGATAGATGATGTCCCCTAGACTTCCATGTTTTCATATTTCTACTGTTATGCTATGTGAGGCAGTATCACAGAGCTGCCTATATGGGGCATCACTGATCTGATGGTGTGAAACAACAACGCTAATCTGCCTGTGTAAGGCAGCATCATGAATCTGCCTGTGTGAGATAACATGACTGATCTGCCTGTGTGAGACATCACTGATCTGCCAGTGTGAGGTGACATCATTGAACTGAGCATCCGACTAGAGACCGTAGGATCACTAGAGTATTTTTCATCAGTCCTTCCTGTTACAGAGGTTTAACTGTATTTGACCAGAGATTTATTTACCTTCTCTGAAATGTTTGCTTATTTACCCATAGGTTTGGTCACACCAAGGGAGTGATGTGGTTACAGTCGCTGTACTTCAGTGCCATAGTGTGTATCTTTATATCTCACCCACTAATGGTAAGTGGTCACCTTCTACATGTAGACCTAATAATCTTCTGGAAATAAACCAAGCTGTAGTATTCACCTCTAGTGTTCATGTCACAGTCTCAAAACTGATCCAAACAATTAAAACTTCAATTGTATATTGTTAAAGCAATCTAGGAATATCTCAGATCAAATTGAAAAAAATAAAGGAGAGAAATAAGGTGTAATTTTAATCATGTTTTAGAACAAAAATGATATTTATATGTGCAGATCTGTATAGCAGTAGTTTACACAGCCATCAAATACAGAAACAATCCATCAATCCTTGACCACTATGAGGACGGGGCATTTGGGGAGCAAGCCAAGCTGGAGATACTGAGGAGGAAAAAGGAGAAAGCCAAGGAAACAGTGGATGAACATAAGGAAATTGAAAGGGTTAGTGCTATCAGAAAATTGGAATACTTATGTATATAATCAAAGTGTGGACAGGTTATGTTGAGGTGATATATATAGAATTGTCGTTACTGTTCATCTGTAGATCATTTTTAGGCAGATTATTAAAATTGCCTCTGATAACTATCTACAGAAACATTATAAAAGAGACTACCACATGATATTAAGAGCAATAATGCTAAAGTGTCTTCCCCAAGAACACAACCACATCAGCACAGGCCTATTCATTAACTCAGCTTGCTGAGAAACAAAAGCCAGTCAGGGAAGGATTTTAACAACACACCTTTGAGTTTCACCTGAGTTTGAAATGTCTCATGCTCAACAGGCTGAGCTAACACAGTCCCCAAATGTATCTAGACAATATAATGTAATATACTGTGCAAGTGAAATTTTGAGTTGGCTCGTCTTCAAAGTAACTACACATTATAGAGTAGATTTAAATCTGTTGGTTACTTAGGAAACCAATAAACTGATTGTGGTGAGCAGAATAACAGATTAATTATCAATCTGGAGACAATTGTTTGAAATTTCTAAGAGATAATAAGGACAATTTGTTTGACATGAATTCTTTTTATTTTTGCTCTTTAGGGTGTAGCTGCCAGACAGAGGTCACGATACCTGAGATTTGCCCGACCCCCACAGGAAAAACAGCTGATTGAAGCCAGGAAGAAGATCCTGAAGGAGAAGAAAGCTATGTCCCTAATCAGGTATTGGTGCTTAGCTCAAAATATCATTTGAGGCAAAGCTAGAGACTGATATGAGTTGATCTGGAACATATACGGGTAATAAATAAATTTCCCAATTACAATTTTGTCAAAACTGCATGAAATTTTTTCAAATCGTCTCATTTCCACATTACTCATTTCAGTAAGATTACCTCCCTTTGTGGTTTTATTATCAGAGAGACTATTTAGTATGACATTTACTCCTTGTCAGATATTTTTTAAGGTTTCAGACAGGTCAGATATTTAGACAGAAAAAATCTAGCACCATGTAGTGGATGAGATATTCCTATGTCCTGTACACTATACATGTCTTGTACTCCACTAGGACTCTCTGTAATGTTGTCATATATAAAACTCCTGTATCCATTTGGAATTTATTGTCGGATTTATGAATACCTTGAAGATGACTTTTAAAGTCATTGGAGATCAACTTTTTAGGTCAATGAAGACAAAGTCTCATTGTGACCTATTTTGATAATATTTTGTCCATTTTCTAACATCATGGAATGTGCATCGTAAATTTTGAACATTTTTTGACCTTTGGAAACCCCTGAAATTCTGTAGTAATGTGCTGTGGCCAAAGGTGAACTCAAACTGTAATATATAGTACCCCTCCCCTAGATTCCGAAAGGGTGGGACAGATTTAAGTGGTATCTTTAACTCAGATTTGTAAAACAACTACTAGAATCAGAATCACACCTCACTGCTTTCTACATCATATCACAAGCCTATGTACGCTGACTAATATAAATCATGGAGGGATGGGTCTTAAGGTGCTTTACCAAAATTGTGAATTTCATGACCTCACAGTCATTTCCCCCTTGGTAGGGGGTAGATTTTGCATCAGAAAATAACAAGTTTTAGCTATTTCTTTTTTTATTCAAATGTGGTTAGAATCCTTAACAGCTGGAATGGCAGTTAGTGTTATGGACAATTTGCATTTGCCTTTTTTTAAAACTGAATTTCCACCTTGTATTTATACAGTAATTCTGTTGGATTCTGTGTGATGATTGTCCTGTTGTGTGTTATGGCCTACGGAAAGGATATTATCACTTCTCCATTCTACCTTAATGAAGCTATTAAAAATTCATTGGTCAGGTAAGCATTGTTGACATATAATGAGGATATATTAGATATATATTTCAATGATACAAAAGTGATTGTCATTGAGTCCATTCCATTTGTATAAATTGTCTTTAACACTCCATATATAGCTGCAAATTATCATTTAATGTGTGTGTTATGGTCGTGTGTCTGTGATAGTGAACGATAAAAGGTTTTCCACCATGACTAGATTCAATCTTTATCAAACTGTACAACTGTAATAGGAAGGAATAATGAAATGGAGCTAGAAATGTCCACCTTATTACTGTCTTTAATATATATAAACTTTAGGAGTTATGACTTACCACCAGGCAGATGGGACTAGTAAGGTGATATATGTGCACTGAACATCTTTAATGCTATGTTTAAGCACAATGTTTTGCTGGAATATTTAATTTCTAAAGCAAAATAAAAAGATTGAAATAGCACCTGTGCATAGTAATAGATTAAGTATACATGCTAGATGAGGAATAAATTTGCATCCAGCATAGAAAACTTTGGAGACATAGCAGAATATTAACTGTCATACTTCAATCATGTGCAATTAACAGTGATCTTAATGACAAAACGTTAGATTAGACTAATGTGACAGTAAAATAGAGTAAAACTATTTGTGATGCCAACAATGTAACAATTGGTCTCCCTCTATCACTAGATCTGGTACAGTAAAGTTTGCTGATATGGCTAGTCCTGAAAACTGGTACAGCTGGAGTCAAACTACAATGCTAGATGCCTTGTACTCCGACAACACTGAACAGGAAAACAATTCCAAAGTCATTCAGGTAAAACCTGACAAAGTCATATAGGTAAACTTGACAAAGTCATACAGGTAAAACCTGACAAAGTCATATAGGTAAACTTGACAAAGTCATACAGGTAAAACCTGACAAAGTCATATAGGTAAAACCTGACAAAGTCATATAGGTAAACTTGACAAAGTCATACAGGTAAAACCTGACACAGTCAGTTAACAACTGATAAGTCATGCAGTAACAAATCAAAGTTATACCATTAACAACTCACAATTATACAGGTAACAACCTCAGAAATCATACAGGTAACAAATGACAAATTATACAGGTAACAAATGACAAATAATACAGGTAACAAATGACAAATCATACAGGTAACAAATTACAAATAATACAGGTAACAAATGACAAATCATACAGGTAACAAATGACAAATTATATAGGTAACAAATGACAAATAATACAGGTAACAAATGACAAATTATATAGGTAACAAATGACAAATAATACAGGTAACAAATGACAAATAATACAGGTAACAAATGACAAATCATACAGGTAACCAATGACAAATTATATAGGTAACAAATGACAAATCATACAGGTAACAAATGACAAATTATATAGGTAACAAGTGACAAATTATATAGGTAACAAATGACAAATCATACAGGTAACCAATGACAAATTATATAGGCAACAAATGACAAATAATACAGGTAACAAATGACAAATCATACAGGTAACAAATGACAAATAATACAGGTAACAAAAGGACAAATCATACAGGTAACAAATGACAAATCATACAGGTAACAAATGACAAATAATACAGGTAACAAATGACAAATCATACAGGTAACCAATGACAAATTATATAGGTAACAAATGACAAATCATACAGGTAACCAATGACAAATTATATAGGTAACAAATGACAAATAATACAGGTAACAAATGACAAATAATACAGGTAACAAATGACAAATAATACAGGTAACAAATGACAAATAATACAGGTAACAAAAGGACAAATCATACAGGTAACAAATGACAAATAATACAGGTAACAAATGGCAAATCATACCGGTAACAAATGACAAATTATATAGGTAACAAATGACAAATAATACAGGTAACAAATGACAAATTATACAGGTAACAAATGACAAATTATACAGGTAACCAATGACAAATTATACAGGTACCAAATGACAAATAATACAGATAACCAATGATAAATTATACAAGTAACAAATGACAAATAATACAGGTAACAAATGACAAAACATGCAGTTAACAACAGACAAGTCATACAGGTAACAAACTGACATGTCAAACAGGTAACAAACTGACATGTCAAACAGGTAACAAACTGACAAGTCATAAAAGTAACAAACTGACAAATCATACAGGTAGCAACACACAGGTCACACAGGTAACAACTGCCAAGTCAAACAGGTAACAACTGACAAGTCACACAGGTAACCACTGACAAGTCACACAGGTAACAACTGACAAGTCACACAGGTAACAACACACAGGTCATACAGGTAACAACTGACAAGTCACACAGGTAACCACTGACAAGTCACACAGGTAACAACTACCAAGTCACACAGGTAACAACTGACAAGTCACACAGGTAACAACACACAGGTCACACAGGTAACGACTGCCAAGTCACACAGGTAACAACTGACAAGTCACACAGGTTACAACTGACAAGTCACACAGGTAACAACACACAGGTCACACAGGTAACAACTGCCAAGTCACACAGGTAACAACTGACAAGTCACACAGGTTACAACTGACAAGACAGGTCATACAGGTTACAACTGACAAGTCTCACAGGTAACAACTGCCAAGTCACACAGGTAACAACCAACAAGTCACACAGGTAACCACTGACAAGTCACACAGGTAACCACTGACAAGTCACACAGGTAACAACTACCAAGTCACACAGGTAACAACTGACAAGTCACACAGGTAACAACACACAGGTAACAACTGCCAAGTCACACAGGTAAAAACTGACAAGTCACACAGGTAACCACTGACAAGTCACACAGGTAACAACTGACAGGTCATACAGGTAACAACTGACAAGTCACACAGGTAACAACACACAGGTCACACAGGTAACAACTGCCAAGTCACACAGGTAACAACTGACAAGTCACACAGGTTACAACTGACAAGTCACACAGGTAACAACTGCCATGTCACACAGGTAACAACTGCCAAGTCACACAGGTAACAACTGACAAGTCACACAGGTAACAACTGACAGGTCATACAGGTAACAACTGACAAGTCTCACAGGTAACAACTGACAGGTCACACAGGTAACAACTGCCAAGTCACACAGGTAACAACCGACAAGTCACACAGGTAACCACTGACAAGTCACACAGGTAACAACTGACAAGTCACACAGGTAACCATTGACAAGTCACACAGGTAACAACACACAGGTCACACAGGTAACAACTGACAAGTCACACAGGTAACAACTGACAAGTCACACAGGTAACCACTGACAAGTCACACAGGTAACAACACACAGGTCACACAGGTAACAACTGACAAGTCACACAGGTAATCTCTGACAAGTCACACAGGTAACCACTGACAAGTCACACAGGTAACAACTACCAAGTCACACAGGTAACAACTGACAAGTCAAACAGGTAACCACTGACAAGTCACACAGGTAACAACTGACAGGTCATACAGGTAACAACTGACAAGTCACACAGGTAACAACTGACAAGTCACACAGGTAACAACTGCCAAGTCACACAGGTAACAACTGACAAGTCACACTGGTTACAACTGACAAGTCACACAGGAAACAACTGCCATGTCACACAGGTAACAACTGCCAAGTCACACAGGTAACAACTGACAAGTCACACAGGTAACAACTGACAGGTCATACAGGTAACAACTGACAAGTCTCACAGGTAACAACTGACAGGTCACACAGGTAACAACTGCCAAGTCACACAGGTAACAACCGACAAGTCACACAGGTAACCACTGACAAGTCACACAGGTAACAACTGACAAGTCACACAGGTAACCATTGACAAGTCACACAGGTAACAACACACAGGTCACACAGGTAACAACTGACAAGTCACACAAGTAACAACTGACAGGTCACACAGGTAACAACTGACAAGTCTCACAGGTAACAACTGACAAGTCACACAGGTAACAACTGACAAGTCACACAGGTAACCACTGACAAGTCACACAGGTAACAACACACAGGTCACACAGGTAACAACTGACAAGTCACACAAGTAACAACTGACAGGTCACACAGGTAACAACTGTCAAGTCACACAGGTAACAACTGACAAGTCTCACAGGTAACAACTGACAGGTCACACAGGTAACAACTGACAAGTCACACAGGTAACAACTGACAGGTCACACAGGTAACAATAGACAGATCATACAGATAACTAAAAAAAACACTTTAATGCATGAAAGAGGTATTTTGTGTCAGATGCCCACATAATTGTTTATGAAACCAATACTTTTATACATTTCTTTTGATAATACAGTTGAATTTCTTTTAAACAGAATTTTGTCCTCCATGGTAGCAGCTTTGTGATTGGTCAGATTCACTTACGTCAGTTGAGAGTAGTAAAAGAACCTTGTCTACAGACTTTGCCACACCTGCCAGAGTACTGTCTCCATGACTACAGTTACACCAACAAAATGACAGATATTTCACCAGACTTAAATGAGACATGGACAGAAAGTAAATCTTTCATCAAAGTCTTCGGGAAGCATGGCATCTATGATAACTCCGGATTTGTTGTCAAGTTAGACAATTCTAGGTAAAATGCTTGTTTTTACTGCTGTGTTGATTGTCCCCTGAACTGAACAGATTTATATGTATTATGTAAAAACTTGTGTACTGTTATATCAGAAACTAATTGTAATGATACATGATGCATGATTACACTTTTGTTTTCAGGTCCACAGCCTTGTCCCAACTACAGAGTCTGGAGACAGGTGGCTGGATTAACAAACACACAAGAGTCGTCATTGTAGAATTCACATTATTTAATGCACCAACAAATCTCTTTTCATCTGTCACATTATTTATGGAATTACCACCCACTGGGGGCACTTTTATGGGATATCGTGTGATGTCAACATATCTGTACCGATATATGTCAGCTGCTGATAACTTTGTCCTGGCTTGTGAGGTCAGTATTGACAGTCATATACTGTGAAATTTGTTGTGATGTATTTTTTTTTTATTCTTGTGAGGTATGAAGAAAAACATGGAAAATACATAACCTTGGTCTGTTTCACTATTTCCTTTTTCCTTTTGGTAAAACTGAAAAATTGAATCATTGAAAAAAAAACTTATACAGTAGTAGAGTAATTATCAGAGTTAAGAAATGGAAAACCAGCCTATCTGTAAAAAGCTTGATCTTATAATATCAATTATGTATTTTCCATTGTAAAACTTGTTATTTGAAAACCATTCAAAAATTCTGTCCATCACTATTGATAAAATAATCTTTATTTAATTAGTGGACTTCAATATTTTTGTTTGATAAATCCCAACCCCAGTTATATGTAATTTGATATGCCATGCCAAATACCAAATTAAAATCAAGATTATTTTCTTTTCCAGTTGTGTTTTGTGATCCTGACTTTGTACAAACTGAAGAATGAGGTGTGCAATGTGATAAAACTGAAAAAGAACTACCTGTACAGCGTCTGGAACATTGTACAGGTAAGTTAAAAACTTGGAATATTGTATTGTAAATTGTCTTTCTGTGATATTCTGACAGCATTCTGTCTGAAAAGCCTATTTGTGATAAGCCTACTCACATCCACTGAATTTAAGTAATAATGTGCAAAAAAACATTTACATTATGTCATAATTCCAGTGTTTGATAGTGACCCTGTCCCTCGGCTACATCAGCTGTTACCTGTACAGATTTATATTTCTTGTGTATCACTGTAAACCATTACATAATTCCAGTGTTTGATGGTGACCCTGTCCCTCGGCTACATCAGCTGTTACCTGTACAGATTTATATTTCTTGTGTATCACTGTAAACCATTACATAATTCCAGTGTTTGATGGTGACCCTGTCCCTCGGCTACATCAGCTGTTACCTGTACAGATTTATATTTCTTGTGTATCACTGTAAACCATTACATAATTCCAGTGTTTGATGGTGACCCTGTCCCTCGGCTACATCAGCTGTTACCTGTACTTCATCAGCTGTTACCTGTACAGATTTATATATCTTGTTTATTGTAAACCATTACATAATTCCAGTGTTTGATGGTGACCCTGTCCCTCGGCTACATCAGCTGTTACCTGTACAGATTTATATTTCTTGTGTATCACTGTAAACCATTACATAATTCCAGTGTTTGATGGTGACCCTGTCCCTCGGCTACATCAGCTGTTACCTGTACAGATGTGTATATATCATAATTTGTGTACCTTACAGATTTATATTTCTTGTGTATCACTGTAAACTATTAAATAATTCCAGTGTTTGATGGTGACCCTGTCCCTCGGCTACATCAGCTGTTACCTGTACAGATTTATATTTCTTGTGTATCACTGTAAACCATTACATAATTCCAGTGTTTGATGGTGACCCTGTCCCTCGGCTACATCAGCTGTTACCTGTACAGATTTATATTTCTTGTGTATCACTGTAAACCATTACATAATTCCAGTGTTTGATGGTGACCCTGTCCCTCGGCTACATCAGCTGTTACCTGTACAGATTTATATTTCTTGTGTATCACTGTAAACCATTACATAATTCCATCGTTTGATGGTGACCCTGTATATATATATATATATATATATATATATATATATATATATATGGCTACATCAGCTGTTACCTGTACAGATTTATATTTCTTGTGTATCACTGTAAACCATTACATAATTCCAGTGTTTGATGGTGACCCTGTCCCTCGGCTACATCAGCTGTTACCTGTACAGATTTATATTTCTTGTGTATCACTGTAAACCATTACATAATTCCAGTGTTTTTTGCTACATGATTTATATTTCTTGCATCAGTAAACCATTACATAATTCCATCGTTTGATGGTGACCCTGTCCCTCGGCTACATCAGCTGTTACCTGTACAGATTTATATTTCTTGTGTATCACTGTAAACCATTACATAATTCCAGTGTTTGATGGTGACCCTGTCCCTCGGCTACATCAGCTGTTACCTGTACAGATTTATATTTCTTGTGTATCACTGTAAACTATTAAATAATTCCAGTGTTTGATGGTGACCCTGTCCCTCGGCTACATCAGCTGTTACCTGTACAGATTTATATTTCTTGTGTATCACTGTAAACTATTAAATAATTCCAGTGTTTGATGGTGACCCTGTCCCTCGGCTACATCAGCTTTTACCTGTACATATTTATATTTCTTGTGTATCACTGTAAACCATTACATAATTCCAGTGTTTGATGGTGACCCTGTCCCTCGGCTACATCAGCTGTTACCTGTACAGATTTATATTTCTTGTGTATCACTGTAAACCATTACATAATTCCAGTGTTTGATGGTGACCCTGTCCCTCGGCTACATCAGCTGTTACCTGTACAGATTTATACTAGTGTGGGAGTCTTTGGAAAACATGCGCAGTACCTACTTTGAACAATTTGTAGACGTGTCCTTCCTTGCTGTGTTTGATGAGGTAGGTACAAGAACATTGTTATAGATTTCTTGTGGCTATGAATATATCATATTCATTTATCCTGCATACACTATCATTTTCGGATTCCACACAATTTTCTGTATTTGGCAGTAACAGAAAACTATTAAATTGTAATTGTAATTAAAGCTAAATTAATTCATCAAAATCTCTCGATGATTTACTTAAATGCTGTAAATTTGTATTCCCCTTGATTGTTTTATTGTCTCTTGTCAACTTTAACCTTGCCCATAACCTGTGACCTTTGTCTCACATTTGAAAATTTTTAACATTGGCCATAACTATAGCACTGTAAGAGGTAGGTTTAAATATTTGACTGAGTTATGCCCCTTGAACTCAGAAAATTTCCAATAATTCAGTTTCCATTCATTATCTCTGCATTGGTTACACATGTTGAACAATTTTTGCTCATTATCTCCCTATGCAAACACATTTTGTGCATGAGTGTAAGTTCAGATCACAACGAAGTTGTAAGTGTTTCACAAAGCAAAAATGCAATTAGCATATGCCTTACACAGTACAGTTTTAATGTCAGACTTCACAATTTTGTTGCAGCCACGGGCATCGTGTTTCATAGATACATCTTGTTATTTTTTTTTTCAGGTGGAATCAATTTTCAGGGTTGAAATATTTTTTAAAATTTCATACGATACATTTTTCGCTCTGTTGATGTGAAGAATTTTGTTTGAAAACAGCAATATGGTTATACATATTCTTGTGAATTTCTACCTGTATTGGCTATTGAAAATCATATTCAAAGTTATGTACGCAGTTTATAATTAAATTGGTAAATTTTCACTGTCCTTATCTCACTTGGATGATTTCCAGAATCAATACATAAATGGAGCATAAAACCAGTTGATAAAGTATTTTCATCAGAAATCATCATTGAAATACAACTGTTAAAAAAATGAAAATAAGAACCACACAAAATTGAGATCTTTTACAGTATTACATTTAAAAATGTATATTACTGTAAGCAATTTTATTTGTTGTAATGAAGATGTCTATTTAAGTAAAATTATAAGATTATTGAATATATTCGTCAAACTTTGTAATTACCTTTCTGTACAAAGCAATGGTTCTAGTTTACTCCATCAGGCCAAATTCATCATCAAATTGCGGTAAACAAAGATTGATTAAAGCAATGCTGATATTTCGATAGTCTGAGTTGTCAGTAAATGCTGAAGGATAAATAGAATACATGTTCAGTGTCTTAAGATATAAATTCCTTTTTGGCTTGAGACAGAAAAGTGACAAGCCCGAAGCAACCGTTGTCTTTCTTCACCCTTCCTTCTATTGTAAGACTCTGATAAGAGATTTTCTATAAAGCAGATGCTCCTTTGTAGGCACTGTGGCTTTGGAATGCAATTGATTTTGTTGAAATTACTTGTATCTATCTTGCGTTTTTTTGCCATGATATTTATGCAGATTAAATAAGAATTACTGAAGCACAGGGATAAGGTTTTTCCTTATTTTTTCTGATTTTGTCTTTTGTTATAGATAAAAGACAACTTACTGGGTAAATTTTAGCAGTTGCATGCATTTACTGTGGCTGCAATAACAATGATTAACCAGGTATATATATATTGTATGTTTTAATATCATATAATTATTTTCTTTTGCTACAGATACTTCGAGCTCAAGTTGGAGTTGTTTTGTTTCTTGTGTTTATCAAATCACTGAGGTTGCTAAGATACAACAAACTGTTTGCTTTATTTGGGAATATCTACAGACGAGCACATAAAGAGATCATTATATTCACTGTAAGTAGTATTTGTCAGAAATATTACCCAGATACATTAAATTGTTTCTGATATTTCCATACAATATTGAACAATTAAGTCTTTAAGTAATTACCCGAGACTCTATGGAAACATTCAAATTATCTCCCTTGATCATGTCCCCTATGCATACATCATGTCATGTAATGTCAAGGTCATATGATAAGTGAACAGGTTTTGTATGTACATGTATTTCAATATAAGTATTGTGTTATTTTTTAGGAATTGGTTTGATCACTCAACTTCCCAAAACTGATCTGACATTTATAACTTTAGTTAAATAATTATGAACCATTTTCATCCACAATTTTCCGTGATTTGAGCAAGTCATGATATGACCCATATCAGGTGGACCTGATGAAATGAGTTGGTGATATTATCACACTGTTTATTTTTTCCCTCAGGCGTTGTTTGTGGGATTGTTCTTTGCTTTCTCCAGTCTTGGACTTCTCTTGTTTGGTGCTTTCTGCTGGTCATTCCACGACTTCTGGACAACGCTGTTTACTTTGATGTCGCTGATGACCGGACATTATCAACATCCCAGCTCAGAGCACATGACGTCTTACTTCCTGCGTATCTTCGTCTTGTGTTTTTGTGTGTTCTTTACAGGATTTCTCACCTCTTACGTAAGTCTGAGGATGACTGACTTATATTGATATACTGATTAGTTTTCCTAATGGTTCCATTGCTGTTTGATATTATTTGTAAGCATAACATTACTCACTTGGATTGACTAAGATTTACATGGTGGACGTTGTTGATGAAGCAGAAGCCGCTTACTCTTTTGGAATACCTGGTCTTCTCTTGTTGTATTTTTTCTGTAGTCTCCATGTAAATCTTTCTTTTATTCATATTTTGCCTTAGTTTTATTAGTTCTAAACTGGGAATGGAAGTGGACTATAGTTTCAGCTCTGACTGACATCAATGAAAAAAGCTTATCAAAGCCCCCTTTTCCACACTACTAATCACTGAAACTTCTTAGTTGGATTCAGGTTCACTTTGGTGAAACAGTGCGTTGTGTATCAAAAGCAAGTCACTCTGACCTACATTTTGACATTTGACCTATTTTTTTTTATATTTTGTTAAAAACCTTGTCCAGACCTTCTGCACAATTAATCATAGGAATTTAAGTTCAGATATTGGATCAGGACTACAATTTGTTGAATAAGCTTGTTGAATTCGAGTTTGGATTATGAATCTGTTCACAAGTTGGTATTTCCATGTTTTTTTTTGTTTTGTTTTTTTGTGAATGAGTGAAAATCAAAATGTGACAGAAGTTATAATCATTTATGATTATTGATCAGAGTGTAGTTTCTATAACCTAGTATACCTTACATTAATAGGTAATGTGATGAGCTTAGTTAGGGTAGTTGTGAGGCCAATCATTTGGTGAATTTCTTTTTTCAATAAAAAAGTTAATTTTCTGATTTGTGTCTATGTAGGTAATAGCCTTCCTGTCCTTGAGATTCAGAGTTTACCGTAGAAAACAGGGGGACATTCTTGCAATGAATGGACGGGATGCGCTGTTATTTTACTGGAAACAGTTCCTGATGTGGACTGGTATCCAGTATGAACCCCCAGTACATGAGCCAGAAAATGTCCTGCCAGCTGTAAGTACTTCCTCCCATTAATTACCTATTATAAAGTAAACCAATTATCTCATACTTGCAAATATTTTTGTCACATTTTCAACATCTAAATTTCAAGTATTTTGTTTAATCCAGAACTGATTTTCATTTTTTGTATTTTGATGATGCATCCTCAGTTTAGAAAAGAATTGAAAATAACATTGACGTAACCATTCAGAAAATTTTGTAAAACATGTGATAGTAATCTTAAGTCATTTTAACATGAAGATTGAAAACCTGACCAAGATTTTTAGAAAAATGGAATTAGTAAAATATATTGGAAAAAACTGGTGAATGAAATGTGTATTAGTAAAGATAAACCATTTTGATTACAGGAGTTCATCATGGTAGAGATTGAATACCAAGTGGATGAGTTATATTTCCGAATAAATGCTCTGTCAGGATTGCATAGTCTTCCGGAGAAACCTACAGGATACCTGACGGACTCGGATGGAACTTATGGAGTTGGGGATGATGGCATATCTAGTGGGGGCTCGGAGGTTAGATAAACCAATCCTTTATTATCATCAACACAGTGTAACACTGATGAATCTTACAAACAAAAGCATTTATAATAACTCCAAATAAGGATCTGTTGAAAGTTATATCTCAATTTGTGAAACAGGCCAAGAAAGTGATACCTGCCCCTGGGCAATTCAGTAGTGATGAATTCATGTCAGAATGAGGGAAAATAGAGGTCTTTGAATCTTTCGGATAAAACTGGACTTCTTTACAAAGGTATATGTACTGATTAAATGGATATTTAGGAAATGGGGTAAAGTTAGAATGAGGGTTTTATCAAGATTTTTTCTTCACTGTCAGAACATTAGGAGGGAGTTTCTGTCCTGTTATTACTACAGGATCCAGTACCACAAATTAGTACCAAGGTACATTTTGATGGAACAAAGGGGTTCCTTTTGGTTTTGTCATTGTGCAAGAATTATTTAGATATTTAATTAAGATTCAATAGGAGGTTTTCTTATTTTTTTTACAGGGTATTGTTTTTGAGGTAATATATTTAAAGTGATTTTATAATAATTGGGTTGTGTTATTCTGCAGATTCAGCAGGGAGAAGAGGAACGCCTTGACCAGCGTGTACAGCAGATTGAGGATTACCTGTACTCACAAGAACCCTATCTAGCCCAGCTTCTCAAGACCGACAATACTGACGTTGACCTGCTGTCTCAGGAAAAGGAGAAACAGCTTAAGTGAGTAAAGCATCTCACCTGTATCATGTTGGGTACTGACTAATGGAGTCTGGTAGTGATATTTACATCTACAATGATAGAAAAGTGAACGGAATGTTAGACCAGAAGATATAGTGAAAACTATTAAAGTGAATAGAGTTGTATGATTTTGTACATATTATCACGCAAAGTTTTATCTAAGATGAAGTATTGGTCTCCATGGCAGGTCACACCTAGAAATGGAGATTTTCCGCCAGCTACAGATCCAGAGAGGAGACCCCGACCAAGCGACCTGTTCAGTAGCCAAGGCCAGCAGTTTTCAAGCTAAAAAGGTGGAAATGGACAGCATCAAAGGTACAGTGAATATCTCCTGTTTATTATCAAGGAAACCTTTTCTAAGGTAGTATCTTGTAGGTTAGGTCACCTGCTATTCCAAATTTATATACGAGTAGCTCACTGGATGGTAAAACACGACCTTCAAATATATTAGGTTCACAAAACATTATGTTATCATGTTACCAACCATTTGTGATATATGTATACTAGATTTCTGGATGTTGGAGTATACTATACAGAAATTAAGTTTTGTACTGTGCATACCAAATTAATAAGCCTTTGTTAATTTTTGATGGAAAAGTTTTGGTAGAATAAGCATCCTCTATACTACAGGGCTACAATCACTTTTGCTCTCTGCACCCTTGGAATATGTCATGGCAAAATGGAAGGTTCCATGTATGACACTATGTAGACAAGGTCAAAACAATCCTATAGTGTACATCAAACAAATCTCAAGGTTGCATAACAGTGTTTTATAATGGCTTGCAGTTGGGTGTTGCTCCTTTGTAAACTTCAAAAGGAGCGTATCAGTCTGTGATTGGTCAGTTTTTTTTCTCCTGGTACCAATCAAATTATCTCACTTGTGCCTTCAAATTTGCCATGACATGTTCCAGGGGTGCAGAGAGCAAAGTGATCATAACCCCTGGTGTATCAAAGATGTAGAATATGTGGAGGAAAGGTTGCTAAGCACATTCTCACTCTCTAGACATCTACCCACCTCCAAAATATCTCTATGAAATGCAGAAACTGTGTCCCATTTGTATGAATTCATGTAGTTATGTTTGTTACAGGTTTGTCTAAAGACAGTAGTACTGATGACCAGAAAAAAAGTTTGTATTCCTATGTCCCTTTAGAGGAATCCAATTCTAATGAAAGCTGTGACCTTGACACTCAAACCAGCTCATCCTCCAACCCAGAGTCACCAAAGGAACATGAGAAAAATGGCACTAAGGCAGCTGTTGAGAAACAAGTGCGAGTGTCAGTATGTCAGACTGATAAATCAGGATCCCAGTCATCAGACTCGGATAAAGGCTTGTTTACAAAGGGTCTTAAAGGAGAGGTGAAACAGAAAAAGCCTGAACCTCCTCCGAAGCCAACATTTATCAATCATAGTCTACGTGATGCTGTATCCCATGATGCATCTCGGCCAGGATTAATCGGAAGTCCTGCTCTCCGGCAGTTACGATCAAGTCTCAACACAATAGAAAGGCTCTCATTTAAGGGAGACAACAGTGGAAGCAGTTTTACCACAGAGTCAAGTTCTGGGTCGGAGCAAGACGCAATCCATGGCATGCAGAGACCTCTGGGAAAACAGCGTAATTTACGGAAGACAAAATCACGAGGCAAAGGGAAAGGTTCTGTAAATTTGACGGGAAGTCTTCTGGATGAGCTGGATACAGAAGACCAAGAAGAACTAGAACAGTACGAGTTTGAAATTCAAAACACAGAGGATCAAATAGAACAAGAGAATGCCAATGACCAATCAGGCTCAGCCAATAAAACACCTTGTGACAAACAATCAAATGACAAGGAACCAATCACAAAGCAGGAGACAAGTGAAAACAAAGAGGAAACAGCAAGATGTTCAGTGAAAGACTCTGTCAAAGCTTTTGAAAAACGTGCAGGGAACAATTGATTATCATGGACAGAAATGATATCAAACATTAAAATAAAGTGTATCATCTTTTAAACATATCATAAAAGTTTACATCAATTATCATTCATTAAATATTTTTTGGTGAGTTGTACTTTTTTTCAGAATTTTCCCTAAGATAACATCCGGAATGATATCACAAGGTATATTAAGTCTAATGATATCACAAGGTATATTAAGTCTAATGATATCACAAGGTATATTAAGTCTAATGATATCACAAGGTATATTAAGTCTAATGATATCACAAGGTATATTAAGTCTAATGATATCACAAGGTATATTAAGTCTAATGATATCACAAGGTAAATTGAGTCACATGGTAACTTATGTCATGAGAGACATATGCTTGTGTGATTAATGTCATCAGAATCTCGAAAACCTAAACAAATAAAACAGTTGTTATACAAACCTTGAATTTATTTAATTTGAAGATCTAAATTAGTGCCAACTCATGTAGTTCATTTATGACAGTGCTTTTGATAAAAAATGTACTTAATATTCCCTCTTCTTTAAATAGTGTTGTTGTCTGTCCAATGTTAGATTTGTATACACAGGCTTTCATATTCATTTATGGTGTAATATATGCATTGCATAGCAATACATGTTTAGTCATTTTCCATTACTTAGTTTAGGTATATTTATATGATCATTATATTATCTTAAAAATTGTCTTATTTTGCTGTGTCATAAAATGATAATAAATGGAAGAGTTTAGAAATAAACTTTGATATCAAATTGGAGACATTGGATTAGAGCTAATCTGGTATTACAAAAAGGTATTAAGAGCAAGCTGAAAGGTTAATAGATATATTTTTATTTTATTTGAGGGGGAGGAGGGCGTTTTGGGACTTTTTTTCAATGTATTAATTGATGTTAATAAATTGATCAGGGAATAAAATAGTTCTAAAACCATTCTAAAGATACGTGTATTTGTCATAACGAAATCATTAACATTATTTCTTTAACATTCTTATCAGTTCTATACACATCATGTTCATTATTAGTTCTGTACACATCATGTTCATTATTAGTTCTGTACACATCATGTTCATTATTAGTTCTGTACACATCATGTTCATTGTCAGATCATTTAAAGTCCTATTTTCATCCATAATTCTCTCTATCTTGTACGTGGTCATCAAATGACAGAACATTTGTGTACATGTTTTACATTGGTGCTCATACTGATTATACATTACATAGAGCAATAAATTTTATAAGAAAGAGATAAGTGTTGAAAGTATTGTTTGTGAATGTCTCGGGTCCGGACTATTTCTAGTCATGTTATTACGCTAGTGTAGTCCTAAAGTTATATTCTATGTTTTACCTATGATTGACAATCAACAGGTAAACTCTAACCACCCACAGTAATCTGTATTGAAGATCAATTAAACAGTGTTATAGGTAGATAAACACTTACATATCTTTATATAGACAAGTGATCCAATGATTGTTAGTTTATTAAATTATTTAGAATCTAATGACAAGATGGCCACCTGTCAGCCATTTTGCTTTGCTGAGAAGTCCTAGATTTTTTTAGGGGCAATGAAATATCACAGGAACAGAATATATGTAAAGAATGATTGAGTGATATATGGTTTGGGACATTTTGTACCGCAATAAACTGAAATAACTTGTTTATGTAACTTTTAGCACATCCCCAAAACTATTATGCAGGCATTGATTTGTTTTTGCATACATTGTTGCCATAGTAACAAATCAAAATTTGCATAAAATAGTGAGATTTTAATGTTCAATAAATTTGCCCTTAAAAACTATACTAGAAATATATAGGTACCTATAATACCTCTCCAGAAGATAACAAGTGCTAAATTGTAACTGAGTGAAAACTACTAAAAAATTGAACAAAATTGAAAAAAAAAAAATCATATTTACCTAACTTGTGCAAACTTTAGCTGAACAGATAACATTACAAAGGTATGGGGAACTTATTCTGAAATTCCTGTCAGTCACTATGCTTCTTTTATCAGTGACAAAATGAAAAGGACATAAATAGGGACCAAAAGTGTATGATATGAATATATGAAAGTGAAAAATCCACACACTTTTTGAGAAGTAACCATAACAAACTCATTTTCAAAATGAAAAAAGGCCACCTATCTTCAAATTTGCTTTTCTGATCAATCTCAAAAGCAAAACAGCACAATGAAAGACCAGAGAAAACCTACATTTGAAATTTGAGAAAGATCCATCCAGTCCTTAAGAAATAGGGATAACTAACTTTCACCATTTAAATCCAAAATGGCTGCCTGGCAGTTATTTTACTTTTCTGACAAGCTAGATGATGTAAATAGCCCATTATTTGATTATGGTCAGTAAAAAACTGAGGCAGTTGAGTAGTGACAAATATTGGTTACTGTATTATAGAATTTGATCTGGAATTTACCATGTTGATTAAAACCAGTTACAGTATTAAATAACTAGTAGTATATATATTGTATCAAAGGGAAGCAACAGTGACCTTGTTCCTGGATCTGTCTCCCTGTTATATAAAACAGGTTAAGTGTTAACACGGAACAGACATAAACTTGGCAGAACATACAAAATATAACAGACAGACAGATGACAGGACATACAAAGCCTAAGTATAACAGACAGACAGATGGCAGGACATAAAAAGCCTAAGTATAACAGACAGACAGATGACTGGACATACAACGCCTAAGTATAACAGACAGACAGATGACAGGACATACAAAGCCTAAGTATAACAGGCAGACAGATGACAGGACATACAAAGCCTAAGTATAACAGACAGACAGATGACAGGACATACAAAGCCTAGTATAACAGACAGACAGATGACAGGACATACAAATCCTAAGTATAACAGACAGACAGATGGCTGGACATACAAAGCCTAAGTTTAACAGACAGACAGATGGCAGGACATACAAAGCCTAAGTATGACAGACAGACAGATGGCAGGACATACAAAGCCTAAGTATAACAGACAGACAGATGGCAGGACATACAAAGCCTAAGTATAACAGACAGACAGATGGCTGGACATACAAAGCCTAAGTATGACAGACAGACAGATGGCAGGACATACAAAGCCTAAGTATAACAGACAGACAGATGGCTGGACATACAAAGCCTAAGTATAACAGACAGACAGATGACAGGACATACAAAGCTGAAGTATAACAGACAGACAGATGACAGGACATACAACGCCTAAGTATAACAGACAGACAGATGGCAGGACATACAAATCCTAACAAACAGAATAACTTACAAATGTCAGATCATATAGATGTTTGCTACCAGTTGAGATGAAAGATGAGGATATCACAAGAAAAAGCCCTCTTTAGTATATGATCATATTTAATTTACAATAAAACAATTACAAATAAACAACAGCACTTACATAATATAACACAACAGACCACATTCACTGATCATCATTTAACCAAGACGGAAAAATTCTATTTTTCCAAATACCTGGCAGCCTATTTCTTCAAATAACCTGATATGTCATATCTTTTTTCACCTGTCAGGTAAACATAAAAGTATACTACTGTAATGTTTTTTTATCAAACAAGATCTTTAGAAATATTCCATAAAGCAGTAATATATTAGTGATAGAATAAAAAATTCCAAATTGCGTACTTCAAAGAACTCCAAAAATACAAGAGCTTTCATAACCAAAAAACTAGTACAATATAAACGTGGTAATATGTATTGTTACCTAAAACATCACCTGTATACTTAGTCAAACAATGACAGCCACATCTTTATTTGGAAAACTGTGCAAACTCTTGTCAAACATTCCAAAAGAATAGGGGATAACGAAACCTATTCCAAATTCATAATATACTTTTGATGAATGGAAACTCAAAACAGTCTGGTTACATATTTTCATATGTCAAGGATTTATAAAAAGTATTTAGTACTCTTAATTTAGTTTCTATTATTCTGCCAATGAACCTGCTTTGCATGAAGATCTAAAAAAAATACTGCATTTGCAGGTCCCAGTTTCATGAATCATCCTTCACTTAACAAATTTTCCTTAACTAAAATTGCCCATAGCAAGGCATAACATAAGCTAAGGAACTTTCCTTAACTAAAACTGCCCATAGAAAACATTACATAACATCAGGAAATTTCCTTAACTAAAGCTCTCCATAGAAAACATTACATAACATCAGGAAATTTCCTTAACTAAAGCTCTCCATAGAAAACATTACATAACATCAGGAAATTTCCTTAACTAAAACTGCCCATAGAAAACATTACATACCATCAGGAAATTTCCTTAACTAAAACTGCCTATAGAAAACATTACATAACATCAGGAAATTTCCTTAACTAAAACTGCCTATAGAAAACATTACATAACATCAGGAAATTTCCTTAACTAAAGCTCTCCATAGAAAACATTACATAACATCAGGAAATTTCCTTAACTAAAGCTCTCCATAGAAAACATTACATAACATCAGGAAATTTCCTTAACTAAAGCTCTCCATAGAAAACATTACATAACATCAGGAAATTTCCTTAACTAAAACTGCCTATAGAAAACATTACATAACATCAGGAAATTTCCTTAACTAAAGCTCTCCATAGAAAACATTACATAACATCAGGAAATTTCCTTAACTAAAGCTCTCCATAGAAAACATTACATAACATCAGGAAATTTCCTTAACTAAAGCTCTCCATAGAAAACATTACATAACATCAGGAAATTTCCTTAACTAAAACTGCCCATAGAAAACATTACATAACATCAGGAAATTTCCTTAACTAAAGCTCTCCATAGAAAACATTACATAACATCAGGAAATTTCCTTAACTAAAACTCTCCATAGAAAATTTTCCTTGAAAGTTTTTCCATTAATTATGTAATGCTTTTCTATGGTATTTAGGATTTCCTTGCATTAAGGAAGATTCACGAAACTGGGGCCAGGTCCAACATCCTAACCACAGTCTATTTCTGTAAACATACATAAATTGTCCCAATCAAATTTTAGCACAATGCCAGTTAAGGTAAATTAGCGTATGGATGAAAAGGTGCATAAACTATGATCGCTACGTACACAACGCTCAGAAATGGCAATTACCACAATCATATTTTAGTGCAATATTTTCAGCACGAAAAAGTGCCAAAATAAGACTGCTGTTACGATATGTACAGTATTGTACATTCAAAGTTTGAGCAAATAACACAGTGAGATACATTTACATGTATAACAATCAAACAATGTGACCAGATGATCAACACTTGTATTTGGATTGCCATATCTTAGAACTAATTTGTGGGTATTATCAAATCAATGAAGAAACTCTGGTACAAATGATTTTCAGTCTAAACACTACTGTTCAGAAAATGTTTGGAATATAACAGGTATTTTAATTAAAATCTCAGGAAATTCATGCTTTTGCTTGCTGTCCTATAACAAACAGAGGATTCAAGCATTACACACTTTTTACAGAGTAAACAGCCATTAACTTGTCTGAGTGTTAACAAGAAAGTTTTTTAAAATCCACATAAACTGGACCTGAGGTGTTGTGATAAAATGTTTGAATAAAACTTCATTCAAACCATCTCATAGCAAAAAATGTACTCTTAAACATTACTGAACATGTTATTTAAAACAAAACTTGCCATGCACCAGAATATAGCTGGTGTTCAATGACATTTCATATACACTACCTGGTATATCTATATCCTTACACAACAATTTTGTATTACCTCATGATGAATACTATCATAATTTTACATGTATTTTTTATATATATATTTCATGAGACAATGTATCCAGCATGTACAACATAGTTTAGGATATAGGAATAAAATTCTCTGCACATGCATAACAAAAGAAAATCTCACTTAGGAACATACACTAAAACTCAGTACACTACAAGTCATTCCTCGCCACTGTCAGAGGAAATGCATTTTATATTGTGAATTATGACAACAGAGCCATTGATACACAGTGATGATAACAACAAGAATCATGTATAATATAAACTTCTCCTGTCTCACTTTGTTAATAAGGAATTTTAAAGCAAAATTAAATGAAATTGATGTCTTCCAGCCCTACCCCAAAAATTTCAAATTTCCAATTTAATTTTGATTAATGAAAAACAGAGCCACAAGTAAATGCAAAACTTTAAAAAAATCCAAATTATTAACATCTCAAATTTTCAGAGTCTCAAGAGTTTTTGTACACAAAGTTTTGAAATGTCTATTATGTCATCTAGCTGTATTTACATGGTTACCTAAATGATAGAAAAATATGATGTCACAGCTTGATTATCATGACTGGAAGATAATAACCATGTAGACCTACTGAGGTAGCAAAACTAATTGTAAAGCATCTCAAGTGTTCATATAAAAACACTTATGCTTTATCAAATGTGTTTCCAATTCTATTATTTCTTTAAGCAATGGATCTACATGAAAAACTTTGAAAATGTTGACCACGACGCTCCAATGGAAAAGTAACACCATAGTCTCTATGCAGCGACAAAACTTCAAACATGTAGATGTATAGTAGGTATATCAAACTTTGAAAAGTTTTAGGTAAGCCTAAAATATCTATATATAAACAAAAGGACTCAAAGCCTACGTAATTCTGTTTTTATTCCAAATGTCCAGAAATGCCCTCAGGGTCATTACAATGGATGTTATTGTTTGATATGAAGACGATATTGCACTACAAAGTTACAGGATGTAAATGTTATTTTCTTTCTACTGAAATGAAAAAAAATGTTTATATATTATGGAAATAATGAACCACATCTAAAAACAATATTTTGTATTGCACTTCAGAATGAACATCTCTATGTATTATTACTGTTTTATGTCTATTGATAATGATGATGTTATACAATCTAAACTGAACATTATAATATTTACTGACTACACTCCAGTATGGGTGGGTCTGGTTCAGTTACCTAACTCACACACTGTACAGACACAGCTGAAGATGTACCATTGTCCATTACTTACGTATATTAGATAAACTTTATTTAACAACAATAGCAAATCAAGCTTATATCAATCACTCTTGTTGGCCTGGATGGAAGCTTGTGAGGGGTCTCTCTGTGGGAGGAAACTGGAGTACCTGGGGAAAGCTTGTGTGATAGGACAGATAACCCCATACCTTTTCACCACCGTACCGGGAATCGAACCCCAGACGTCTAGGTTAAGGCAGGTGCATTACCACAGCTTATATATAAGGAATGAATTCCTGTAAAGATACTGAGTGAAAGAGAACTGGATGTTACTTGTTCTGTTTTGTTAATTACACAAAGCATCTCTCTCTCACTACAGCTTGTAAATCTCAGCCCTCATACACAGAATTATATCACTTATTCTGCCATATCATTGTCGTATTTGGAATGTACATCATCGTAATCTAATATCAGATAATCAAGCTTAAAACTGTAAATTGGATCCTAAACATTCTACATAATCTGTGTGAATTCGGCAAGTATACCATTATCATGTTGATGTTAGTTATGACTGGAGAGAAAACACCATTAAATTATATATCCAGGGACTAGATATTTATTTTACTTATTATCATAGTAATTCACTTTTTCTTTCACAACTGAATCAAGAAATCAATTAACTTAAATGATTACATCAATCATAGCTAATGATGTACTGTTCCAAATTCTCTCTGATTCCCCAAATGCCCTGCATACATATTGGTATCTTAGCGAAGGACGCCAGTAAACACCTAACCTTAATAAACTAAGGCATTGGCTCCACCCTATGACTTTACACTATATTACATGTGGTTCCCAAGTCCACTCTCTACCTAACTCATCCATTCATGTGATTCTTGTTCTGTTTGCCTTGCTGATATGTCTTTATATTTCATGTAGCACGATGGATTTTAGTGGCAATCAATACATAAAACACATTAACGGGGTATGAGGGTGTTCACTGAGAATGACCTAAGTTTAGTGTTATCTCGATTTCTACACCAAGAACATTGAAAAATGGTTCCTTTATCATATCTTATAGCCCTCACCTCATAAATACTGCTAATGAACTCAGATTTACTCAAGATTTAAAAATCTGACATGTTCTTTTCTATGAAATATTGCCGTCTTTATAAATGTCCCCCAACTACATAATGGTAACTTCAATTTGAAAAAAAATACTGCATTTGTTTTGCTATTTGGACTGGCAAGAGCTGCTGTTTATTGGTAGACAGATCTATCCATTTTAATCCTGGCGAATTACCGTATAGAGGGATATTATCAACAAAATGTACATTTTGCAATTTTCTGCATAGTTCATTTTTGGGCATTTCATCATCCAAGAAATTTGAAAGGCATAACATCAACTGGAGATCTAAGTGACTAGTCATACTAGATAAGAGACTTACATACTGACTAGTATTTGTTACAGAAATACTCACAACTAGAGAGTGCTCAGGTGAACATTGTAGAGAGTGTTTAGGTGCATATTGTAGAGAGTGTTTAGGTGCATATTGTAGAAAGTGTTAAGGTGTATATTGTAGATAGTGTTTAGGTGCATATTGTAGAGAGTGTTTAGGTGCATATTGTAGAAAGTGTTAAGGTGTATATTGTAGATAGTGTTTAGGTGCATATTGTAGATAGTGTTCAGATATGTATTGAGAAAGTGTTTAGGTGTATATTGTAGAAAGTATTCAGGTGTATGTTGTAGATAGTGTTTAGGTGTATATTGTAGAAAGTGTTTATGTGTATATTGTAGAAAGTGTTTAGGTGCATATTGTAGAAAGTGTTTAGGTGTATATTGTAGAAAGTGTTTAAGTGTATGTTGTAGAAAGTGTTTAGGTGTATATTGTAGAGAGTGTTTAGGTGTATGTTGTAGAAAGTGTTCAGGCGTATATTGTAGAAAGTGTTTAGGTGTATATTGTAGAAAGTGTTTAGGTGCATATTGTAGAAAGTATTCAGGTGTATATTGTAGAAAGTGTTCAGGTGTATATTGTAGAAAGTGTTTAGGTGTATATTGTAGAAAGTGTTTAGGTGTATATTGTAGAAAGTGTTTAGGTGCATATTGTAGAAAGTGTTTAGGTGTATATTGTAGAAAGTGTTTAGGTGTATATTGTAGAAAGTGTTCAGATATGTATTGAGAAAGTGTTTATGTGTATATTGTAGAAAGTATTCAGGTGTATGTTGTAGAAAGTGTTTAGGTGCATATTGTAGAAAGTGTTCAGATATGTATTGAGAAAGTGTTTAGGTGTATATTGTAGAAAGTGTTTAGGTGTATATTGTAGAAAGTGTTTAGGTGTATATTGTAGAAGATATGTATTGAGAAAGTGTTTAGTGGTGTATTGAGAAAGTGTTTAGGTGTATATTGTAGAAAGTGTTTAGGTGTATATTGTAGAAAGTGTTTAGGTGTATATTGTAGAAAGTGTTTAGGTGTATATTGTAGAAAGTGTTCAGATATGTATTAGAAAGTGTTTAGGTGTATATTGTAGAAGTGTTTAGTGTATATTTAGGTGTTATATTGTAGAAAGTGTTTAGGTGTATATTGTAGAAAGTGTTTAGGTGTATATTGTAGAAAGTGTTTAGGTGCATATTGTAGAAAGTGTTCAGATATGTATTGAGAAAGTGTTTAGGTGTATATTGTAGAAAGTGTTTAGGTGTATATTGTAGAAAGTGTGTATATTGTAGAAAGTTTAGGTGTATATTGTAGAGTGTTTAGTGTTTCAGATATGTATTGAGAAAGTGTTTAGGTGTATATTGTAGAAAGTGTTTAGGTGTATATTGTAGAAAGTGTTTAGTGTATTGAGAAAGTGTTTAGGTGTATATTGTAGAAAGTGTTTAGGTGTATATTGTAGAAGTGTTTAGTGTTGTAGGTGTATATTGTAGAAAGTGTTTAGGTGTATATTGTAGAGAGTGTTTAGGTGTATATTGTAGAAAGTGTTTAGGTGTATATTGTAGAAAGTGTTTAGGTGTATATTTTAGAAAGTGTTTAGGTGTATATTGTTGTTTAGAAAGTGTTTAGGTGTATATATTGTATATTGTAGAAAGTGTTTAGGTGTATATTGTAGAAAGTGTTCAGGAGTATATTGTAGAAAGTGTTTAGGTGTATATTGTAGAAAGTGTTTAGGTGTATGTTGTAGAAAGTGTTTAGGTGTATATTGTAGATAGTGTTTAGGTGTATATTGTAGAAAGTGTTTAGGTGTATATTGTAGAAAGTGTTTAGGTGTATATTGTAGAAAGTGTTTAGGTGTATATTGTAGAAAGTGTTTAGGTGTATATTGTAGAAAGTGTTCAGGCGTATATTGTAGATAGTGTTTACGTGTATATTGTAGAAAGTGTTTAGGTGTTTAGGTGTATATTGTAGAAAGTGTTTAGGTGTATATTGTAGAAAGTGTTTAGGTGTATATTGTAGATAGTGTTTAGGTGTATATTGTAGAAAGTGTTCAGGTGTATATTGTAGAAAGTGTTTAGGTGTATATTGTAGAAAGTGTTTAGGTGTATATTGTAGAAAGTGTTCAGGTGTATATTGTAGAAAGTGTTTAGGTGTATATTGTAGAAAGTGTTTAGGTGTATATTGTAGAAAGTGTTTAGGTGTATATTGTAGAAAGTGTTTAGGTGTATATTGTAGAAAGTGTTTAGGTGTATATTGTAGAAAGTGTTCAGGTGTATATTGTAGAAAGTGTTTAGGTGTATGTTGTAGAAGTGTTTAGGTGTATATTGTAGAGAGTGTTTAGGTGCATATTGTTGTTTAGGTGTATATTGTAGAAAGTGTATATTGTAGAAAGTGTTTAGGTGTATATTGTAGAAAGTGTTTAGGTGTTTAGAAAGTGTATGTATATTGTAGAAAGTGTTTAGGTGTATATTGTAGAAAGTGTTTAGGTGTATATTGTAGAAAGTGTTTAGGTGTATATTGTAGAAAGTGTTTAGGTGTATATTGTAGATAGTGTTTAGGTGTATATTGTAGATAGTGTTTAGGTGTATATTGTAGAAAGTGTTTAGGTGTATATTGTAGAGAGTGTTTAGGTGTATGTTGTAGAAAGTGTTTAGGTGTATATTGTAGAAAGTGTTTAGGTGTATATTGTAGATAGTGTTTAGGTGTATATTGTCTACTTAAAAGATGTACTATTCATGTATTTACAATGAAAAGAAAAAAAATACATACACATTTTGCAGTTTCAATTTTTTTGCAATTTTGGAAGGATTGCAAAATTCCCAAATTTAGAACACACAGAATATTCCCAATATACAGTATCTCAGAGACAGTGAGTTAAATCACTATGCTTAAGTACATTGTATAGACATTTTACAGGACTTGTGACAAAAACTGTTCCGGAAACACAGGGAAGTCCTCTGATCCAGTACAAAGCATGGCGGTAATGTCCTTATAATGATGATATCTGTTATAGTTTCAATAGGGGTTCTGTTGTTTAGGCAATGTGTTTGATCACTTTCAGGGTACATCCTTAACATGACACTATCAGGCTTGACAGGAATTATGCCACAGGTAGATTCCTGGAAAAGCTGTTGATGTGTAGAAGCCTCATTCCTTGTGTCTGTGTATAAATAGTACCGATGTAGAATTTCTTTCCTGGATTTCACTACAACTCGATACTATTTCTGTATGAAAGCTTGATTCCTGTGTTTTGATGTGCTTGTGTATCAAAATTATTTTAATTTTCCCCTGGATTTCACAGTAACACTGTTGTCATAGGAGAGTTATTTCCCTTGATTTTACTGACTTTGTACTTCAATACTGTTGTCATAAGAGAGTTTTTCCCCAATGATTTTACAGTGTTTGTAACACCATTCTGTTGTCATATGAGAGTTATTTTCCTTGATTTCACCTTGTTTGTACCCCGATACTATTGTCGTAGGAAAGCTTGATTCCTGGGTTGAGATCACTGAAGTATGAATGCTGCATTCCTTCATCTGCTGATATCCTCATCGGCGGATTACACACCAGAAGCCTCTGGCAAACAAAGACAAAATAAACGCTCAACATCATGTATGTTTTATGGACTTTAAAATACTTGTGACATTCATTTATAAAAATATTGTAAAATCTTCCTCCTTGTCACAACAAGACTTCCATGAAAGAAACAAATACCATAGTAAAACACCATGAACTCACATTTTGACTTTAAAACCTGTCTAAATATTACTGTTCTCAGTTATCAATGTATGTTGTGACTGAAACATACTTAGGAATAATTCGTTCAGAGTTTTGTTTTCAAAAGCATCTTGTACTTTGTAGGAGATTTTACAAAACTTATCTCAAAGTGTGAATTTTTGCATGCCACAGTCCACTTATGTAAAAAAAAATTTATAAATTATATAATTTCATAAAATCACATATGAAATAAGAATTCTTTTCAGATCCTTTATCATTGTAAAGTTTATGTCAGTCTTCTATAAAGTTTAAATTTGGTTTGTCAATAAACATGTCTCTCTCTTTCAGAGTCAATTCAGAGTCAAGGATAAAAAAAACTAAAAAGGAAACCTACTTATAAAAGCTATCCACAAAAGTGGAAAATTGTTGAAACCAAAGATGATAACAAGGCTGGCAGTTTGTTCTGTTACGATCAGAATACACACATATTTATCCATGTAATACAGACCAGTACCAACAAGCTTAACCTTCAAATCTCAAACAAAGCAGTATTGCAAGATATTGTAAATGTTGTAGAGGTGTGATTGGACTGTATTCAGTTCTATATGAAAGTCCTCATTTCAAAATTTAAACCATGAGTCAGAATTCTGACCTGACTTTGGTTGTTTACTTTGTCTTTAGACTTTAAAGATGGCACCATATTTCCAAGGATTCTCTTTTGAAATCCACCCCTTTAACAAGATTTTCTGTTATGGCCTTGGCAGACTTGGGCCATGCAGCCATATGTAACAGTAAAGCTTGGCCATCCAGCTGTGGTCAATTTCCCGACAAATTTGAATTTCTCACGTGTCAATGGGAAATAAAAATTTGCTAACATATAAATGAAATGGCCTGCAATCATACCAGTATCACTATTTAGTGATATTACACTGGGAATGGTTGGTAAAAAGTATTTAAGATGTCAGTAAACTGACCAGTCTCAAAGTAAATACCGAATGCAATAATTATTTATGATGCTGTGACAGAATTAAAGTTTTTGTAAAACAATATATACCAGGAGATGAAGAGAAAGCATCAATTGTCAAATATCTCATGATACAAGCTGACTTCTGGTCTATGTACAAACTGTTCTCCAGTTTACTATCTCTGTAAGTGTCTTCTACACTATTCTATTCTCACTAACATACCTGTAAGAGTTCTCTCCCCCTTGAATTTAGGTTCGGCACTACTTGCTGCCAGGTAGTATTCACATGATACAACTGGAATGGCTGGAAAATATGAAAATACAATCTCCTTAACGTTGTTGGAAGGGGTAAAAAAGTTGTTTCAATTCCAAAAACTAGAATGGCTGCAAAAAATCTCTGTATCAAAGTACAGGGAGAAAAATCTCAAAACTGGACGAGATGAGAACATAACTCACCTTGTAGTCTGGTAGTTGTGTTATATTAGGCCATGTCTCCTCAGTTGGGGTTCCCAAAAGTCTTAAGAGGTTAAGGTCACACAAGACCACTGAAGGTCATATCATAGAGATTACCATCTTATGGGAAACATTATTATACTACTTATCATGCTATTAAAATACAATTTTATCCTGCAACAGGCACTGCCATAGAGTACCATAAACCTGCTACATTTATTTTTGCTGGATTCGGTAGTGATTGAAAACCGCTTAATTTTAGCATGTGCATTAATCAAACAGAATTACTTTCTTTCTTAATCTAAATATAACATTTAAAACTATACATAACTGTTGAAAAAAGTCATTTTATATGTTGTAATGAACAAGTTTAGTTACTAAAGTTAACAAAATCGCTGCCATATCAATTACAAATTATCTTGCAGTACATCATCAGGAAAAATTCATTTCTTTGCAAATATTGATAAGATAAAAATAATCTTAAATTTGTTTCTAACTGAAGACAGATCCTACATACATACATATGATCTACTTTTTGAAACTACTGTGCTAATGACTGTTTTTGATATCACAGGTTAAAAAGGTACTTGAAAATCCTCTTTAGCTGATCATCTACATCATTTCCAGGAAACAGTGGTCGTCCTGCATTAGCTAATTCTAAAAACACAAATATAAAAGTAGTAGTTAATTCATAACTTTTATTTTGGTATCAATCAACATAATGGAAATTTCTTCCCAGCTGATAACAGATCAGAAAACGGTGAGTTCAGTTACAAGATGGTGATATAAAGCTGGTGATTTACAAATATATAGATATATAGTAAAATTGTGGTGAATTCTCCATGTCCAGAAAATAAAGAAAAAAGGTTAAAACACTGGAAAACACAAAAATTGTAAAACAGAAGGACATATTGAACTTTGGTACAATTACATCAGGTGATCAAACTCTGAAAATTTCATAATCACCAAAATCACTGTATACAATGCATTTTGTTAATATATTGATATTTTGGCATCGTAACACAATCGACAAAGGAAGATGTTCCAGCCTCAAACTCGTGATCTGTATCACCATATCACCCAGCCAAGAAAATCCAAACAACTTAACCATCACACTATCAAGACATCATCGAAAAGGATGTTAGAAAGTTGTAGTGATAGACAGCTGGAAATTTTCAACATGATTGTAGAGGCAATTCATCTAATTTTGATCTGAACAACTGGATCACAATGTATTTACGTACATGGATACAAATGGTATAAATAACACACCTTAAACTCGAGTACAGTTACAACAGGTTATTGAACTTTCAGATCAACAACATTACTGTATACGATGCATTTTGATATTTGATATTTCTAATGAATTAGCTGTAAAACACACACAAACATAATGTCCCTAGAGCATCACTTTATTGTTTATCACTAACAGCTTTATGATGTAAATTAAATACACTGATATTTCCATCATGCAACTTCAAGCAACACTTCATAAGAAACCAAAGCTGTAATGTCTAACAACAATTTGTTTTTCTACTGTGTTCTTGTTTACCACTGTTTATAAATGTTTGTACCATGTACGCTATACTAATACACAAAATTCAAGCACTGTTTTCAACCAGATAGGTTCCTTTAAGTATTTCAACACCAGGTATATGAAATAATAATCACATTTTGCTTGTTGGCTCTTGCATTACAACGAAAAATGTCAAATATTTAAACTAATCTTATCAAAAACAAAACAATATCAATAAATCATTTAGCTTTAGATAAGAGTGAGATGGCTGGATTATCAAATAAACTGTATTACCAGCAAATATACAGCCTGCTGACCACATATCTATGGACGTGGAGTACATCTTGGCTCCAAAAAGGACATCAGGGGGCCGGTACCATAGTGTCACTACCTGTATACATAACACAGACATTACATATCATACACAGGACATCAGGGGGCCGGTACCATAGTGTCACTTCCTGTATACATAGCACAGACATTACATATATACACAGGACATCAGGGGGCTGGTACCATAGTGTCACTACCTGTATACATAACACAGACATTACATAACATACACAGGACATCAGGGGCAGTACCATAGTGTCACTACCTGTATACATAACACAGACATTACATAACATACACAGGACATCAGGGGGCAGTACCATAGTGTCACTACCTGTATACATAACACAGACATTACATAACATACACAGGACATCAGGGGGCAGTACCATAGTGTCACTACCTGTATACATAACACTACATAACACAGACATTACATAACATACACAGGACATCAGGGGGCCTGTACCATAGTGTCACTACCTGTATACATAACACAGACATTACATAACATACACAGGACATCAGGAGGCTGGTACCATAGTGTCACTACCTGTATACATAACACAGACATTACATATATACACAGGACATCAGGGGGCTGGTACCATAGTGTCACTACCTGTATACATAACACAGACATTACATAACATACACAGGACATCAGGGGGCCGGTACCATAGGGTCACTACCTGTATACATAACACAGACATTACATAACATACACAGGACATCAGGGGGCAGTACCATAGTGTCACTACCTGTATACATAACACTACATAACACAGACATTACATACCATACACAGGACATCAGGGGGCAGTACCATAGTGTCACTACCTGTATACATAACACTACATAACACAGACATTACATAACATACACAGGACATCAGGGGGCCTGTACCATAGTGTCACTACCTGTATACATAACACACACATTACATAACATACACAGGACATCAGGAGGCTGGTACAGACATTACATAACACAGACAACATACACAGGACATCAGGGGGCCTGTACCATAGTGTCACTACCTTTATACATAACACAGACATTACATAACATACACAGGACATCAGGGGGCAGAACCATAGTGTCACTACCTGTATACATAATACAGACATTACATAACATACACAGGACATCAGGGGGCCGGTACCATAGTGTCACTACCTGTATACATAACGCTATATAACACAGACATTACATAACACACACAGGACATCACACATAGTGTCACTACCTTTATACATCATACACAGGACATCAGGGGGCCGGTACCATAGTGTCACTACCTGTATACATAACGCTATATAACACAGACATTACATAACACACACAGGACATCAGGGGGCTGGTACCATAGTGTCACTACCTGTATACATAACACAGACATTACATATATACACAGGACATCAGGGGGCCGGTACCATAATGTCACTACCTGTAAGCATAACACTACATAACACAGACATTACATAACATACACAGGACATCAGGGGGCTGGTACCATAGTGTCACTACCTGTATACATAACACAGACATTACATAACATACACAGTATATCAGAGGGCAGTACCATAGTGTCAAGGACTACAAGATGTGATTTCATTTCTCTCATTCAAAAATTTCATCAGCTATCAGAGAAACAGGTACAAAAAACCTGCTACTGAGGTCATCTTTGTCCTACACATATTGAAAACAAAGTTTATTGTTTACATCTTGTTGAAAAATTTAAAAATAGATTTTTATATAATTTCCATATCTTTTATCTTTACTACCACAGTTTCACATTTAACTTCCACAGCAAATGGTAAATACAAGTGTAAAATGCCACAGATCAGTGCAAATCTAAATTTAATAAGTTAACTTCAATAAATATATTATGACTGTTGTAAGAAATAGGAACTCATACCTCAGCACTGTAAAACCGCACAGGGATACCAAATGCTCTGGCTAGACCAAAGTCTGCTAATTTAAGTTCCCCATTCTAGGAAAAATAATATTGCAAACATACTGTTAACGTATGTGTGTTTCAGTTTCAAACACACTGTATACATCTGTTAAGTACAAGAAAATTTCAGTAGGTTTGTACAGTTACAAATTAGCGCATGAATAATATAATTCATAATATATTTGTATATAAACATCCTATCAATACAATTTCAATTTAATTAAATGATTTCAACATCAAAAGTGCTATTCAAATACATAAAATTTAGTGAATAAATATATAATTACTAATGTACAGAAAAACTGACTAACAAAAATACAAGGGACTACACACAGAACAACAGTTTTTGATAACTGCAATAAAGCCTATGTTTATTCCATATAAAAGCCATGAATCAATGTATATATTAGAAATATCCATAAAACATTTAAGTTTCATTTCCACCATCAATAGATATTGCTATCATCAAGGCTTTCCTTTCCAGATCACAGGATATAACTGACCTTATTGATGAGGAGGTTTTGGGGCTTTAAGTCGCGGTGTAGGACATTGTTACTGTGACAGAATGCCAGCCCTCGCAATAGTTGGTACATAAAAGACTGCAAGGGAAAGACATTCACCAGCAATAAACAACAGCTACAAAAACTTATACAGTAAACAATATCTGATATGTTCATACGGAAAAAAATCTCAAAAAAAAAACAATACCGAGTGTTTGCCACAGGATATTCAACCAGTAGCCATATGGAACCTCAGACCGCAGAAGAAAAGTGACACATGTGTGTACTTCACTTATGAAGTGCTGACTGCTACAAAATCTAACTTCATGTTTCTAATCAGTTAAAAATTCTAACAATATATACTACACTGTATATAATATCTTCATATGACAGGGATCTCACCACAAAATTGTAGGAGGCATGGGCACATCCATCCACAGTCTAAACTCCCTACAGGTGATCTTTAATACAGGTTCAATTACCAGTGTTACTATAAAATGTATCATTAATGCACACAAGTGACTTTTATAGACAGGCGGCCTTTATACAGTGGTGACCTTTTAGACAGGTTTTGATACTGAAGATTTATCTATCAATCAGAGTATATCACTATTCTTTACCTTTATCATACTCATGGATCTCACTCAAATAAAATTCCATTTCTCTGGGCATTGGTAAAGACATCACAAACCCTTTCAAGGCAATAACATGAGGCCCAATGGACATGCAGAGCTCATTTGGTATACAGAAATATAGAAATTTCCCCTCTGTTACCTTGAATATATGTCAAGGTTATTTGTTTACGCAAACTTTGACTGGCTTCATCCTAAGAACATACCAGCCAAATATCATGCCTCTGGGTCTTTTAGTTAATGAGAAGAAGTAATTTGAAAGTTTTTATCAAATTTGACTCCTGTGACCTTGAATGTAAGTCAAGGTCATTTTTTCACAAACTTTGTTGGACTTCATCCTTGGAACATACCACCCAAATATCAAAACATTTGGTCCATTGGTTATTGAGGAGAAGTTATATAAAGAAAAAAGTTGACGCTGGACGTCAAAATGAACAGGACATGTAAATGATATCTCTGAACGTGAAGCCCCAATAAATATAAGAAAACATTGTTGTAGAGGTTACAAAGATGATATTGCAATAGTAATAGACTGCTACTAAATGTTACAATCCTAGAACTAGATGTTCTTACCTGTGAAATCTTGTTCTCACCTGAACTGTGTCCTGATCTATTTCCCCATTACAGCTGTCAAAGTATTTCTTCAGGTCCTGGTCACAATACTCGAACACCAAGGTAAGCTTCTTTTCACTGTGTAGCACATCATGTAATCTGTACAGATCAAATTATCCACATTAATTGTTTACCTTCATTCAGTACTAGTAAACAAATATCAGTGCCTTCACCCCTTTGTTTTCATCTCCTGTCATTGAACTTTCCCCTCTTTGTAGTAGCCAATCATAATGTTTTGGTGTTTGAGTTTCTTCAGCAGACAGATTTCCCTCAATGCTGAACTTAAACTTACCTCACAGATTTCCCTCTGGATTGAACTTACTTACCTCACAATGTTTTTGTGTTTGAGTTCCTTCAGCAGACAGATTTCCCTCAAAGCTGAACTTGGTACTCCCTACAAAGCAACAAGATTTATAAGTTTTATAATCAAAATTATTTCACAGCCATCTGATCCAACTCAAAACATGTACTAAACATATGTAAATAAGATTTCCCAAAGTAGTAATTAATAAACAATATACATGTAGTGTTTACTATTCATCCTTTGAAAATGCTTTATATATATCTACTATCCTCCCGTTAATGGAGTTATCAGAAGAAAAATAAATAAAATGTACCAGAGCTACTGTAGAATTGTAAGTAAAGGAGAATCATTCTTGTTGATTTTGTGGGTACTCTGATCTTACTTCATGAATTCATATACCTGGTATTTATGAATCAATTATTGCTGTTGAAATTAGCACAAGCAGACTATTGATCAATACCCATCCATATAATCAAGTGTCTACAAAATAGTTGTTTATTGCAAAAACCGTGATATGCGAGTCCCACAAAAATGTGTGCTTTAGTAACATTTGGTAAACATCTATATCAATACAATAGATTTTATTCTTGGCTTTTCTAGTATCACCTACAATTATGCATAGAAACAATGATAAACTGTGTGATAAGAATAATTCTGTTATTAACCTTCAAATTTAATCCTTAAACAACATGTTAAAATGTGTTAGTTTGCATCTTGAAATTAGCTATCGCAGTACATTTAATTATAGTACACACCTACAAAAAACTACATTCTTGAGTTAGCACAATAATTCAAATAAACAAGAATATTTACCTCATCATCGTCATCCAGACGAACTCTCTTGAGGGCTACAACCTCATGTGTTTCTCTGTTTTTGGCTTTGAACACTGTTCCATATGTTCCTAAATGAAAACAATCAAATATGTTGGTGACTAATATCAACTTAAAGCTTTCATGCCATGAATGAAGAGTATTTGATGGAAAAGTGACAATTTATTTCAAAGCAATTTACATCAGTAACATAGGTGAATTAAAAGTAAAATTTGAAACTGGTGAAAAGAAGAAAGAAGTTCATAAACAGCTAGCCCAGCAGAATACTGCAGCAAGTCTTTATATAATTACATATACCAGGCTACAATAACATCATATTTTTCTTCATTATTCTTCCTATTATACGACAATTCCAACTCCTGGATCCATTTCAACATTTCTTGTTGACGGGTAAAAATTACCCGCTTCACAAACGAAGAGGGCGTAGAAGTGTCTCTTGTAAATTAAGGACAAAGATCTAAGAACTGGATATGAGAAATTGAAATCTTCTAGGAAAACCACTAAAGCACATTTGTCCTATCCAGTGTCTTTTACAAGAGGGAGGTTGGCGGGAACGCACTGACCCACGGTCAGTTTGACATATAAAAAGAAATCTGACCTATGAACCTAGACAAACAGGTTTCATGGGTGCTATATAAAAATACATATACAGTTATGTAAGAGTTCACTCCCTTTGATTAAAAAATATACAAGTACATGTAACTTAATATAATTTATATAAACAATAAAAAAACATTTGTCATTAAATAATGACACACTTACAATACTCAGTTGTGGAGAATTTTCTATGAACTTAACCAACAAAACTGTAACACTTACAGAGGTCATTATTTATTTTAATGCATCAGCTAGGTTTCGAACCCGTGAACTCTGGCTTACTAGTCTATATCTGACGCTCATTAGATTGAGTTAAAGAGAAGTTCTCACTAGCTTAGCAGTATATATACTGAAGCCAGTACTTTACCAAGGATTCGTCAGCTGAAAGACTGAAAGGTTGTAAGAGTGAATGTAAAACCCGTTAAAATAAATAAATTACCAGTGACGTATACTTCCTCCAGACTACCACGATTTCCAAATCGTATTGGTGTTTTAGTGCTACATATATTTATTTGGTATTATAGTACAGTGTATTCATGTTAGCGAAATCTATATCCCATGTACAGTGATGTATATTATATTTGCATATATGTTATTACATATACGTATAGCTTAGTAGTTATAGTGTTGATTCTCAGGCATAATTTCGAGGTCCAAGGATCAGCAAAAGCAGAAAACACTGACCTAAGGTATATGCCATAGTGTCCTTAATTAAATCGGTACCATGCACACGTAAATTCAAACATTTTTACCCACAACGGAATCGTAAACAACATCACTGACATCGTCAGCAAAAGGAATTTCGGTAATTAAATTTGCTTACAATTTTTCGTTCTATTGCATATATATTTGATATAATTGTAATATATAAGCTATATAACATAGTAACTCAATATTTTTACTAACCTTCTCCAATTTTCTCTAATTTCTCATATTTTTGCATGTTAACGAGTTCGTGTGTCTCAAAAAGCCAAAATCTATAAGATTCGGTGTCTTTTCAACGCTTGATTGTTTTTGTGCCATTTTAAAACATTCCTAAACCCAAGATTCAAAAGCTCATACCAAGTTTAGAGTCATAAACGGAAGATACGGATACAAGGCACGATCTTTACCGTAATACCTTGCTGAAATACAGCAGTATCAGCGATGTACATTGTAGTCTTGTTATTATATCGGACGTTTTAGGATAAGCTTTCGGTAGCGGGAAGCCGAAACGCCATGACCTGAGGATTATTGGAGGACGACATCTGAACAAGGAGGACGACATCTGAACAAGGAGGCCCACATTCCCAGATGCAGAAGATTGTCAACATGGTAAATTATAATTAGATAAATTATTACAAAAACGAAATGAAACAGGAATAATGAAGATAGATAGTAGTATATTAGGAGTGGGTTGATGTGTTAAATACAGCCTAGATCTCTTGTCACTCAGCTGACGGAGCATGCTTTATGGCTCAGTTGGTAGAGCTGGTTGATTATCACACCAGAGACTCGGGTTTAATTCCTTGTGATGGCACTCGACAGGAATGTGTATTTTCCCTGTTCTTTCACAGTAGCAATTAAAGGCACAAGAATCATTTTTACACATGTGCAACATCATTGATGGGATGGTTCTTGGTGCAGGTAATCCCTTTGATTCTGAATATCTCCAATTCTTTTTTTATATGCCACCGGAGGTTGTCATATATTGGTGTCATCTTCTCCATCTGTCCGTCTGTACGTCCGTATGTATGTCCGTATGTCCATTTCTTGTGAACGCAACTCCTCCTAAAGTGATCATCAGATTCTCAGGAAACTTGCTCAATGTCTCTACTACCATGGGTAGATGTGCATGAAGGGGCGATTTTATGGTTCGTTGATTTTTGTAAGATTTATGCCAATTTCAACTTTGTATCTGTAGCTTGCTCTTAGTGGATCTTTATATTTTGTCGCAGCATATATTGTGTCCATAGCACTCTTGTTTGTCTTTGTTGCCATCAAAAAAGAAAATCAAAATTACTAAATGATCATCAAAAACCTTCAGACCACTTGTAAAATAAACTTTGAATTCATTTTTCAGATGGCAGAGGGAATTTTATTGATTGAGCCATTTTATGGAGGTTCCCATCGCCAGCTCATTGATCATCTATATGCCCATTTTACAGGATCTGTCAAAATCACAATGACTGCAAAAAAATGGCACTGGAGAGCTCGAACATCTGCACTTCATCTCAGCCAGGAGATACCACACTCCAGTAAATATAGGTAAAGTTGTGTTAGATGATATTGTACTGTGTATCATAACTATAGTTAAAAACATCTTAGGAGATACTATACTCCAGTAAATATAGGTAAAGTTGTGTTAGATGATTCTATCCTGCATACTGTTGCTATAGGTAGAATTATCTTTGTCAGGAGATACTACTACCGGTATTTAAATACTGGTGAAAAATGGCCAGTGCACATCATTTGATAGCAATTTCTCAATTTCTTCCAACTAATTATACCTATTAATGTATTTTGTGTTGTGTCTGGAATGCTTCATAATTGATGTTTCTAGGGTGTTATTTGCAAGTAGCGTGTTGAATTTGGCAGAGTTGGTAGCACTACGTCCAGATCTGTCAAGTCTAAAGAAAATTTTATACTTCCATGAAAATCAGCTTGTGTATCCTGTTCAGAAAACCTTACAGAGGGACTTCCAATATCCATATAACCAAATACTCTCATGGTAAGTTATACCAGAGTATAGATTGTCATTCCAACTGAATTTTGTTTTTATTTTTTATTACTGCTGTTATTATTACTTATTTAGCCCCAAGCATTTAGTGTTGTTATGCTTGTATATATACTTAGAACATGATGATGAATGGTTTTGGTTGATAAGTAAACAATAAAGTCTCTTGGTGGGGTAACAAATACATACTGTTTTATTCCATACTTTGATTCAAATTTTATGAAAGCATGTAAAAGTTTCAATTTTGCAAAAAGAAATGTTTTTGATACTTTATTTGTTCCTTCAGATTTAATCGATAGCTTTTTAAAAATTGTGCCATGAATAATTTCTTGTTTGACTAAAAGGTAAAATAGAATTTGAATGGAATATGTCAAACATTGACTAATCAAAGGCAATATTTTGTATTGACAAAAAAATAATAAACATATGTTACTGACTGGCTATAATTGAATTTAAGCATCCACGTAGAGGTCAAATGAGGAAAGAAATGAAGAATTTGTAAATCTATCACTCATCACTGTTGACATTGTATTGGCTTTATAGAAAGTACTGTCATATTCTTCTGTGTTTATTTTCAGTCTAGTTGCTGATACAATTGTGTTTAACTCACAATTCAATATGGACAGCTTTTTATCATCTATAAATACAGTGCTAAAAATAACACCAGATTATCGACCAAAGGGAATACCTGAGAAGATAAGACCCAAGTGTCAGGTGTTGTACTTCCCCTTAGACCTACCTTCAAGGGCGATGTTTGATCAAAGTAGTCATCCAAACCAACTAAAGGAAAGTTTAACATCTACAGAAGAGTGTAGTTATAAAGAAATGGAAAATTCAACTTGTAGCTCTGAAGAAAAACAAGTAATATGTTTATATGAAAAAACTGTTGATTGTGAAATAAACACAAAATGTGATTCGCCTGTACATTCTATAGGCGAAAGAAATTTATCAGATGAAATGTTGTGTCCACCAGATGCCAAGAGACTGAAGACAGGACCTCTCCATATTGTTTGGGCACACAGATGGTAGTATTGTTTATTTGTGTTCCAAAGAATGCCTACCTTCATTAGATGTACCATGCTATATTGTTGACATGATGTTTAAGTTTAAAGTAGAAAATATATATGGGTGCTTGGGGCTTAAACATCCTAGTGTTATCAGTCTTTGTTATCTTTATTTTGAACTGATGCTATACTGCAGCATCCGTCTTCTATCCATCTGTTGTCCGTCCCTCATTTTTTTTCTACAAATCACTACTTGTCATGAACAACTGAGCAGCATTTGACCAAATGGTCATAAGCAACCATGGGGCAGCAGAACAAATTTTATATAAATGGTGGGACTCTGCCCTAAGGGGCCTGACAGGTAGGGTCCAAAAGGGGAAATTTTGCAAATTGTTTATATCTTACTAAATCTTACAGCAGGATCAGCTAAATCATGGTAAAGATAAATTACTTAATCTAATATAATTAGCTGGCTGTTAGAAAATTTACAGAGACCTATGACCTAAACTGTATTCTGATACTGTGTGTTCTCAGGGAACATGACAAAGATCCGGAGACATTTTTTAATGCCCTTTTCCAGCTTCAGGAGACAGGACTGCATTTCAGGGTCTCTGTGATGGGGGAACAGTTTACAGACAATCCAGGTGGGGACCATATTATCATTGCAAAATATTTCATATGTTGTGGTTCTTAAAATAGTTTCCAATGCACAATAAAATGAATTAGTCACAATTATTATTGCATTATATAAGACAAAATAGTTTCCTTTCTATAACATCCTGTAAGAATTTAAATCCTTTTCACATTTTTATATTTACAATCCTGGCTTCACATATTCATCTATCTAACAAAATGTCTAATCGCGTGGCACATTCTTTCTACCCCACAGTCCATATAAGCTGTAAGACTTTTGGGTTGAGTTGTGATATTTTAAGGATTACAGGTTCAGACACTGTTGTATGTGAACTATGATATAAATTATTTTTGTATTTGTTTCAGAGATATTTTCAGTTGCTAGAGAACGACTGTCCTCTCACATAGTGGCCTGGGGATACCAGGAGAAGAAGGAAGACTTTTACAGAATACTGTCTGACGCTGACGTTGCAGTCTCCACAGCCTTACACGAGTTCTATGGTGTTTCTATGTAAGATGTAGATACTTTGTTAATCTATACATTATCATGTTAAGAACCAGTATCACATAGTAGATCCTGATAGTTGGCAGAGCACTGACAAATATAGTTTCTCATGAAGATAAAAGGTGTGTGGTTTGACTACCCGTCATGGTTGTTGTTTCTAAGGAAGCTCAGAAACAGACTGGTCTGTGCCAACACCTTTTTTCTTAATAGTTCTGAATTGCTTGCAACAGGCCTTCAATATCTTGTTGATGATTTAGCAAGCAGCAATTACACTGATCATGGCCGTTTATTGGGCTATGAACTTAACAAAAAAACCAATATCATAAAACTGATTCATGTTCACACAACGTCTAGAATCATGTGTCTGTCTTGAAAAGTTATACTTACTTTTTTAGATGATTGCTTCTCATTTTCTCTGTACATAGATAACCTGAGTTCATGTTTATCACTTATAAACAGGCAAAATTGCTCTTTGTTCCCAGGACTGTTATGTTGGCAACATCCATAACATAGTGATAGCAGGAGAATTGTTAAATATTTTGTCTGACATATTTCCAATTTCTCAAACCTTAGGCTTGAGGCTGTGTACTTCGGCTGCTATCCACTGTGCCCGAACAGGCTTGTGTACCCTGAGATATTCCCCAGTAAGTACTGGACTGGTGCACTTCTATAGTAGCGTCTATTGTTTACTCAGAGAAATAAAAGTAAATAAATTGTACATGCACATTGATTATCTATAGGAGATATTGATTACCTATAAGAAAGACTGGTTATCTAAAGGAAAGATTGTGATAATAGTTAGCTCTTAAATGAGAAATACCATATTCATGGCTACTCCTCATTTGCTACACTTTTAAATTGAAACAATAATCTATAATTAGAATATTTAGTCAAATAGATCTATTTATCTTATTTTAATCAGAGACATACCTGTACAACACACCTGTTCAGCTACTGAAGAGACTAAAGAGAATGTGTACAGTCCCCGAGGAGGTTAGACGTCATTCTGTACAGGTAACATACATATACAATATGTAAACAGGAGTAGTGGGAAATGATTACTTGTGTCCCTACTAAATAAAGATATTGATGCTTGTAGAATATTTAAATGAATTCATTTTACCATTTTAAAAGGATTTCGAGAAAGCTTAATCATACACCCTGATGACTTATGATTTAGAAGGTGTTCCCCGTTTTTTAAATTGATGTTCTCTGAGGCTTTGAATGTTAGGTGTTGTATAAGCTCTGGTTCCTCATGTGTTTGAATGTTAGGTGTTGTATAAGTCCTGTTTACTCTTGTGTTTGGATGTTAGGTGTTGTATAAGCTCTGGTTCCTCATGTGTTTGGATGTCAGGTGTTGTATAAGTCCTGTTTACTCTTGTGTTTGGATGTTAGGTGCTGTATAAGCACTGTTTCCTCATGTGTTTGGATGTCAGGTGTTGTATAAGCCCTGTTTCCTCATGTGTTTGGATGTCAGGTGTTGTATAAGCTTGTTTCCTCATGTGTTTGGATGTCAGGTGTTGTATAAGCTTGTTTCCTCATGTGTTTGGATGTTAGGTGTTGTATAAGCTTGTTTCCTCATGTGTTTGGATGTCAGGTGTTGTATAAGCCCTGTTTCCTCATGTGTTTGGATGTCAGGTGTTGTATAAGCACTGTTTCCTCATGTGTTTGAATGTCAGGTGTTGTATAAGCCCTGTTTCCTCATGTGTTTGGATGTCAAGTGTTGTATAAGCACTGTTTCCTCATGTGTTTAGATGTTAGGTGCTGTATAACCTTGTTTCCTCATGTGTTTGAATGTCAGGTGTTGTATAAGCACTGTTTCCTCATGTCTTTGGATGTTAGGTGCTGTATAATTAATATTTCATCATGTGTTTGGATGTTAGGTGTTGTATAAGCACTGTTTCCTCATGTGTTTAGATGTTAGGTGCTGTATAACCTTTTTTCCTCATGTGTTTGAATGTTAGGTGTTGTATAATCAATATTTCATCATGTGTTTGGATGTTAGGTGCTGTATAATCAATATTTCATCATGTGGTTGGATGTTAGGTGCTGTATAATCAATATTTCATCATGTGTTTAGATGTTCGGTGTTGTATAAGCACCGTTTCCTCATATGTTTGGATGTTAGGTGTTGTATAAGCTTGTTTCCTCATGTGTTTGGATGTTAGGTGTTGTATAAGCTCTGGTTCCGCATGTGTTTGGATGTCAGGTGCTGTATAAGCCCTGTTTCCTCATTTGTTTGGATGTTAGGTGTTGTATAAGCTTGTTTCCTCATGTGTTTGGATGTTAGGTGTTGTATAAGCTCTGTTTCTTCATGTGTTGGGATGTCATGTGTTTGGATGTCAGGTGTTGTATAAGCTCTGGTTCCTCATGTGTTTGGATGCCAAGTGTTGTATAAGCTCTGTTTCCTTTTTTGTTTTTAAATTGATGTTCTCTGAGACTGTGTTTGGATGTCAGGTTTTGTATAAAAACTGTTCCCTCATGTGTTTGGATGTCAGGTGTTGTATAAGCCCTGTTTCCTCATGTGTTTTGGTGTAAGGTGTTGTATCAGCACTGTTTCCTCATGTGTTTGGATGTCAGGTGTTGTATAAGCTTGTTTCCTCATGTGTTTGGATGTTAGGTGTTGTATAAGCTTGTTTCCTAATGTGTTTGAATATCAGGTTTTGTATAAGCTCTGTTTCCTCATGTGTTTGGATGTCAGGTGTTGTATAAGCACTGTTTCCTCATGTGTTTGGATGTCAGGTGTTGTATAAGCCCTGTTTCCTCATGTGTTTGGATGTCAGGTGTTGTATAAGCACTGTTTCCTCATGTGTTTGAATGTCAGGTGTTGTATAAGCCCTGTTTCCTCATGTGTTTGGATGTCAGGTGTTGTATAAGCTTGTTTCCTCATGTGTTTGGATGTTAGGTGTTGTATAACCACTGTTTCCTTATGTGTTTAGATGTTAGGTGTTGTATAAGCTTGTTTCCTCATGTGTTTAGATGTTAGGTGTTGTATTAGCTTGTTTCCTCATGTGTTTGGATGTTAGGTGTTGTATAAGTCCTGTTTACTCTTGTGTTTGGATGTTAGGTGTTGTATAAGCTTGTTTCCTCATGTATTTGGATGTTAGGTGTTGTATAAGCTTGTTTCCTCATGTGTTTGGATGTTAGGTGTTGTATAAGCTCTGGTTCCTCATGTGTTTGGATGTCAGGTGCTGTATAAGTCCTGTTTCCTCATGTGTTTGGTGTTAGGTGTTGTATAAGCACTGTTTCTTCATGTGTTTGGATGTTAGGTGTTGTATAAGCTTGTTTCCTCATGTGTTTGGATGTTAGGTGTTGTATAAGCTTGTTTCCTCATGTATTTTGATGTTAGGTGTTGTATAAGCACTGTTTCTTCATGTGTTTGGATGTTAGGTGTTGTATAAGCTTGTTTCCTCGTGTGTTTGGATGTTAGGTGTTGTATAAGCACTGTTTCCTCATGTGTTTGGATGTCAGGTGTTGTATAACCACTGTTTCCTCATGTGTTTAGATGTTCGGTGTTGTATAAGCACTGTTTCCTCATGTGTTTGGATGTTAGGTGTTGTATAAGCACTGTTTCCTCATGTGTTTAGATGTTCGGTGTTGTATAAGCACTGTTTCCTCATGTGTTTGGATGTTAGGTGTTGTATAAGCACTGTTTCCTCATGTGTTTAGATGTTAGGTGTTATATAAGCCCTGTTTACTCTTGTTTTTTGTTTTTTGGAATTGTGAGATTGTTACGGTCAGTCTGTTTTTATATGTTACAGGTGCCTATAGAGAGATACCTGTGGCAGAATCAGGCAGATGACTTCTATGCTTTGTTTAAAGTGAAGAAACAAGAAGAAATCTAGATTAGACATAAAATCAAAATTATGATTTGAATTTAATATTTTTGAAACTTCAAACTGTCATTTTTGTTAAGTAAACATATGGTTACAATTAAATGTGATTTTTACATTTATGTGTTTGATTAACTCATTAATGATTTTGTCTGTTAGTAAGATAACTGATGATTTTTTCAAGTCATTGGAATAAAAGTATACTTGTATTTTTATTTGTAAAATATATCCAAGTCTGATTGGTTTAATCTTAACATACATGTACCGTAACGGAAGTATATTGTTGATATTGCCCAGATGTGTAAACACTTATCACAACCCAGATGTGTAAACACTTATCACAACCCAGATGTGTAAACACTTATCACAACCCAGATGTGTAAACACTTATCACAACCCAGATGTGTAAACACTTATCACAACCCAGATGTTTAAATACTTATCACAACCCAGATGTGTAAACACTTATCACAACCCAGATGTTTAAATACTTATCACAACCCAGATGTGTAAACACTTATCACAAACCAGATGTGTAAATTCTTATCACAAATTTGATGGTTTATAACCCTATCCATTTGTTTCTGGTCATTGAAACTCCTGTGGCTGTATACCAAATCATGTGTAGGTACTCTCGTCAAAAATCCTGCGGTAACATTATTGTCCTTCTGCATGCTCATCTGGATTACAGCATAACTACTGTATGGGTGATCAAACAAAGCAAAAAAGGTGACTCTCTTTTCACCGAGACATTCGGGGTTCAATTCCCGGAATGGATGTGAAAAGGTATGGGGTCACCTGCTCAACAACATAGGGTTCTTATGGTTACTACAGTCTCCTCTCACAGTAAGGCCCCTTGTGTGATTCCATGTGGGCCAACAAGTGTGCAACTCCTTTAATCAAGATTTATTCATGGCTGAAACTTGTCTATTTATATGTATTATGTAATATCATTGATATTATTTAATTAAGGTGAGATATGTTGTAATAACTTCCTATCAACAGCTCTATTATTGTATATCTAGAGGTTAGATAAGTTTGTGTGTTGGGAAAGACTGTGATATGTTTAGTGGGCCTCCTTGTCACAGTAAAGAGTAGTGTTGACTTTATTGTGCTACATATCACATTGCAAAAGACACCAAGCAGGACACCCAGTCCTGTCACATACTAACTAGTCAAATTAGTTATTACACTACCACAATGGAGAACGTTCAGCAGGGAACGGTAATTTACATTTTTAAAGATGGTGGTATGTCTCAGCAAGGGGAAATAACACAAAGCCTTCCTCACATATGCGAACACTTGGCAAAACTGAGGTAGTGTTCATGGAAAACTAGTTTATAAAGATCAGACCCCAAAGTGAGTTGCCTGTTAGGATAATGCAATGGAACAGATTGTACAAATTATTCGTCAGTCCTGTTTATGACTTCTTGCACTTAAATCGTGATAATGGGAACAAGCGATGGGATATCGAATCAACTGTGACCAAAAAAAACCATAGGTTGGAAATGCAGGGATATTGCTATCCAGAAATGGAAAATTCACAATAGGGAAATTGAAATCATTATGCTTTTCATACAACTTGGTGGATATCTGGCCATGTTGGTTTCGTTGTTGGAAAAGACGAAGATAAGCAGCTGATGTAGAAGAGTTTGTCGTGTCTCTGATTTCCAGTTCTGGTGGATCTATACGATGGACATGGTCAATAAATTTCTTGATCTAATTTGGAAACGTGATATTTATTTGGATAGGCCAAGAGTGTCGTCAATGAGGCAGAAGACGCTTACTTTTTCTCTCTCTTTTGCTCTAATTTTATCAAATTTGTTATGTCTCTGTTTTGTGAGCTTGACGTTGCTTCAATGTTTGGCTTCAGTGGTGTTGTGGCGTTGGCGACCGATATATAATTGTTATGAACGTAATGACTACTTTTAATATTTTGATCACTGGTCATTGTTTTGTTGCTTGGCCATATTTCTAAAAAGTTGTCATTGTTTTTGTGTCCGATGACGGTTTTCGTGCCGGTGTAACGTTGAAAATGGACCCGCGTTGAAAGGGGGCCGGGGTTTATTTTCATCGCGAGTCAATTTTCAACATTACAACGGTCATTAAATTGTTAACTCGCCATACGAAGAAAGCTTTGTTTGTATTTCCATTTTGTTACCCTTAGGAAATAGATATAAAAGGTTTAATCCTAGTAATTTGATTCCTCAAATGCGCATAAAAGTAAAAAGAGCGTAACACATCGGTATTTGTTGTACTTATCTCAGTTTAACTTATTTTGGTTTCAGTGTCACCAACACTAATAAGACAACAAGAGGTTACTTTGTAACTGTAACTGGGATTAAGAACTTTCTGAATTGTAAGTAAAAGGGTTAAGACCTTTGTGTTAATCTTCCGTATGTTTAGTGGTGAATTTATCTCTGATGTAGGATTCTATGAATGTGCAACGTGCATAAAGTTTCTGAAATTCTTAGTATTAAATCTAAAACAGTGCTGATAATGAAACTAATTATATGAAAAAGTAAGTTATTCCTTCGTTTGTTAAATATGGGACATTTGCCCTGCAGTGATTTTCTAGTCTAAAAGATTGTTTTAAAACGATCCCTACGTATGTGTACTTCATCATCTTGTTTGTTTTTTTAATTTTTGTAGGATATTGAATATAAATGACCACCGGTGCGACACCAAAAGGACAAGCATTCGGGACAAATATAATGTTATAAGAGTATAACTAATGTATCCGATACGTTTAGACCAAAGTAACTCCCCCTTTGCCAGTCCGCTGGGGTGCCTGATATGGTATTTAAGCTATGGGATATAGTACATTATATCCACTTAATGGCTTCTGTCGGTCCATCCAGTATCTCTTAATGCACATGTGCTATTGCTACTCCATGATGCGATTGGAATTTGAGGTTTTTTAATGTAAAACCAATTTTCATGATGTAATACTTACCATAACTTTAGTATGCAAATACAGTACCTACACCCATCTTTGTATCCCAACAACAAAAGATTCAAAAGAAAAACAATCCCGCCCTCCCTACGATCCATGAGCCATCACGGCAGGAACGCAGAGTGATCTCCCTTCCTCTAATAACCTTTATGGCTTAAACCCCACAGAGGGGCAGCCAGGCAGATAAGGAAGAGGGGAGGATAGGGTGGGACTCCATAAAGTTATGGTAAGTATTACATCATGAAAATTGGTTTTACATTAAAAAAACCTCAATTCATTTCAGTAATAATTACCATAACTTTAGTATGCGAATTCGTCTTACCGTAGTGGTGACTAGAAGCCAGGCAGCCCCTTCAGCACATCCAAAGTAGTAGGGAGGGAGAACAGAGTGCTAAAGTGAAGGAAGGGACCTCTCTGTGAAAGAGCAGGTGTACCCACATGCCGCCGTACGGAAAGACATGGCCCGGGGCTAACGAGGAGGCCCAGCCACTGACTATGCCACCACCAAAGGTCCCAATGAATACAGGCCTTGAGTGGGAAGCTAGGGATCACAGATAAAAATCTGTGAAGGTATCCCTGCCCTGCCAGAATACTGCAGACATGACCTCCTGAAAGGAGGACTCATTGAGAGAAGGGCCCAGGATGAAGCAAGGGCCCTGACCTCGTGAGACCGCGCTTTCGCTCTCGCCCGAGCCAGATCATCAAAATGCTCGTAAGCAAACTAAATCACCTGGCAAACCCACCTGGAAACCGACTGGGAGGAGATATCTCGTTGTCCCTGTTTAATGGGCAAAACAGACGGGATCGAGAGCCCCGCCCCCCCTGGTTTTATCAAGATAAAACCTAAGAGCCCGACAAAGACAAAGCAACCTATCTCGCTCCTCCGAGCTAGTCACAGCCAGGATCCTGATGGGATCGTGCGAGAACCCCGGAACCTGATTCTTCGCTAAAAACAACTCTATTCATAGCAAAGCCTCTGATTAGGGCAGAAAGAGAGGAGGACTAACCGATCTCCTTCCTGCCATAACAAGCAAGAACTCTGGCAATAGCTGTACGATAGCCAGCAATAGTGCCAGGTGGCAGATAGCGGTACCTAAACAGAGAGATTAGGAAGTCCGCAATCAAATGCAGAGGCTTCGAATGAATAAGCTTCCTTGCCGACACACCAATCACAGAAGATCATCCAACGTGACTGATAGAGGGCAGAAGAGGAAGCCCTGATTGATTGCTCAATGCAATCTGACACCTCTTGAGAAAAGCCTGCCTTGGCGTGGCTTCCAGAGATAGCCTCAACGCGTGAAGGTGGAGGATCTCTGGTCAAGAGTGTGTCGTTCTGGGTCAAGGCTGGCGAAGGAGATTCGGTCTGGTGGGGAGAGCCAAGGGCTGCATATGCATACGTCCCTTCCTATTCCAGAGAAAGGGCGTCCACAGCCCACGCCTTACGGTCTGGGACCGGGGAGACGAAGGTTAGCAGCTGGTTGTTCAGGGAAGTGGCAAACAGGTCTATAATAGGTCTGTCCCATGCCTGACAATTCCCCTTGAAAATCAAGGGACACAGCTGCCATTCCGTCAACACCGGCTGGTGGCGCCTGGAGAGTGGCCACCAACACACTCAGCCTGCCAGAAAGATGCTTGACCGCTATGGTCAACTGCATGTCCTGGCAGAGAAGAAGGATGTGGATGGAGAGGGCACACAGGACACGAGACCTGGTGGCCCCTGTCTCTCCAGATACGCGACAACTGTTGTCGGTAGCCACACTTTGGACTGCAGGATACCCCTAAAGGACTGCAGAGTCAAATGAACAGTCTCATCTCGAGTACACTGATGTGCTCCGAGAGCTGTTCGCCAGACCACTCCCCCGAGCGGCATTGGCCATCGAGGTAAGCTCACATTCCTGTCATGAACGCGTCCATGAACAGGATCATAGAGGGGAAAGGCTTGGTCAGAGGTACCCCGTGGAAAACGTTCTCCTGAATGGTCCACCAGCAAGAGAACTCCCTGACCGACTGGGTAAGCGGGATCCAGGCCTCCTGGATGACGGAACCCAGTCAGACAGAAGGAACATCTGGAGAGGTCCGATGTGAATCCTCCCTAGGGGGACCACATATGCCAAGGAGTTGAGATACCCCAGAAAACTGAGGAACCAAT